ATAATATAGCTATTTAAAATTATAATAATATATATTATAGTATTATTATAGTAAAGCTATATATTTAAATATATAATTATAAAGTAAGGCCAATTTTAGCCATGTGTCGGGACTTTTGCCGACCCACTGTATCTTCCATTATGAGCTTCTTGTGATAACAATAACGTTGCAGAAAAAATCGTCAATAGGTCAAGACCAGTGTCCCAAGCGATGTTTTTGAATGGTTTATCTTTTGGTCTCTGCGCGTCCCCGTATTCCTTGACACGAACCAGTCACGAGTGATATTTTTTTCAAGTGCGTTTTATGCTTCACACGCTACTAACTACAAGCCACGAGTCAATCACGACCAACATTCACATCATCTGCACTTTACTTCGAAATAATTATACTAGCATCGTTATGTATACTTTCCTTTATCCGCTGTTCTTCGCTATGATCCTTTGACCGCCCAAGCCCTTCTTTTGCGTGCAATCAAGTTGACATTGGGCGTTGATAGACGCTGACAACTGCGGGACGGGCCGTGCGAATGGGACGGCGCTTAGATTATCCAGTCAAATCAGGTCTTGCCCTGCGTTCGTCAAGGGTCAAGTCTATTTTAAGCCTCGTAACTCATTTCAGGGCGCAAAGAAAACTCCTTCCAGGGCCAATGATAGAGATACAAGCAGGTGGAGTTTTCAGCAATATACGTAATGAACTAGGATCTGTCGCGCGTATATAAGGTGCTCTAGCTTGTAGGCAAGGTACGTTAGTCTTTTGCGTGCTACAGGATCAGTTTGCAACCTCCTCACATCATCTAGATAAGCTATTCTCTACGACCAAGTCATATCATATCATCATAAACGCGATGCCTCCCACTGAGGACACGAGCTTTCGAGTGGCGATTGTGTGCGCTCTCCCCCGTGAGGCTGCTGCTATGTCTTTGCTCTTCGACGAACTTTGGGACGAAATGAGCGACGACGGAAAAGGCACAGAGCAGAATACATATGTCACCGGTCGCATCGGACAGCACAATGTCGTCCTGGCCACTTTACCTGGCATGGGCACAATCCATGCGGCAAGAGTTACTGTCAAACTCAGAGGAAAATATAGAAGATTGAGGCTAGCACTTCTCGTTGGCATCTGTGGCGGTATGCCTCGCATCGCGAACCAGGACGCCTTTCTTGGAGATGTAGTGATCAGCAAATCTGTCGTCCAATACGATTACGGCAAACAATACCCTCGCCACTTCAAAATCATGAAGTACGTTGAGGACAGTCTCGCAAGTCCTTATATGGAAATACGATCATTGCTTGCGAACATTGAAGCGGAAATGGTCGATCGGAGACTAAAGCGTGCTGCTACAGGCCATCTGAAACATTTGCAAAACGCCGCGAAGCAAGACAAGAATAGCGCCAACTATCAATATCCCGGAGCGGTGAACGATAAGCTGTATCCCTCCGATTACCATCACAAGCACAGGAAGTCATGCAGCGAATGCACCAGCCATCCAACTGCCATGTGTATACCAGCCCGCAAGGCCTCTTGCCTCGATCTTGAGTGTGATCCCTCTCGATTGGTCCAACGGCGTCGGGTTTCGAATCTTCCTGCAGGTGCAGACTACGTTCCGCAACTCTTCATGGGTCGAATTGGTTCAGCCAATTGCGTTGTAAAAAGTGGCACAGATCGCGATAACTTCGCTACCAGGCATGGTATCATTGCATTTGAGATGGAAGGCGCTGGCATGTGGGACACTATACCTTGCATTGTAGTCAAGGGAATTTGTGACTATGCTGATAGTCACAAAAAGAAAGACTGGCAAGACTACGCCTCAGCTACAGCCGCTTCCGTTGCTAAAGCCATCGTGGAGCGCTATCCGCTGGGTGATAGTGATGCATCGTCAGCTCCTCTAGGCGGTATGTTATGGTTCTCTCCTTATGATACAAAGCTAACTTGGATAGACTTGCGTGGTGCCAACCAGCGTAGCGTCGCTAGCAATTCTGCTGGTGGTGGAACGTGGGTTAATCAGGGTCACGCGACATCCATGCCTGGCCCTGGTCAAGTTCCAGGAGAGTACGACCCCAGAGATCCCTCACGTTTTCCAGTCCGACGGTAGTCAGGAAAGCTCTCAAGCCTGATGAATAGGATTATATGTGTCATATAAAATTTGCGTCGTGGATGAGAATGCTATTTTCCCTCGTTATTTGGATAAACTCTATAGAGATTCTTTTTACGTCTTGTACTACCTATATTGTGCAGCGGTCCTGGCTTGGGGCTCCTATGGAACGCTCATAGTTGAAGCCGAATGCCTGGTCTTGACGAGAACCTTGTATCTGGAAGCAAGCTTGGTTCTTTATACTGTCTTCTTCTAGCACGGTGAAAAGGTCGGGTGTCGGAATTCAGACATGTACAATGTTCAATTTATATATACTTTGAAGTACTAACACCGTTCAACCTCTCTTCATCTCTGTCACTTCCATAATATGTACCAAACTCTCCACATCTCATCTCATGCAACTCATCCAAGTCATTTCTAGTCAGGATATCAATCTTGAGCGCCTCTCAACTCTCTAGTTACCAACATACTTGACAGTAACAGAGTTGCTGGTGATGGAACCAACAGCCTGGACGGTCTGTCCCTGGTCAGGAGAGATATCAATGATCTGAGCGCCAGAAGGACCAGAAGTACCCTTGGTTCCAGAGACAACAGCGTTGGTGAAAGTGACAGTGCCAAAGTCGGCAAGGTCAACCTGGCTACCACCCTCCTGGAAAGCCTCAACAATCCACTCAGCGTTGGTCTCGCAGAGAGTAGAGGGAGTGTTGGTGAAGCTGTGAGTGACCTTCTGGTTGGTGGTCAAGTTTTCAAGGGTAGCAACACCCTTGGTCTTGGAAGAAGCATCAACGGTCATGCGAATCTGATCGCCGACAGAGACGTCGAAGTTGCTGAAGCTGTAGGCATAGTCGGGGATCCACTCATACCAAGCATCGAAAGATCCATCGGCATAGAAAGAGATACCAGTCTGCAGAATAGCGGTCTGGCAGGTATCGCCGTCAATACCGACCCAGGCAGAAGCAGCAGCGCCATCGGCACCGCTGACCTCAGGGACGGTGATGGTGCCCTGGACTTTGTTGTATCCGCTGCCGATTTGGACAGCGCCAGCCCAGTTACCAGAGTACTGGTCGTTCTTGGTGCGGACCTCAGAGAGAGAAGTGAGGCGCTGGTTGGGGTGAGAGCTGTACTTGGCTCGGCGGGCAGAGCGAGGGACGATGGGGGAAGTATCACGGGGAGTGAGCTTGGTGCCAGGAGCAGCAAGGGCAAGGCTGGCGGCAGCGAGGAAGAGAGTGAACTTCATGATGAAGGTTGAGTTGGAAGTGTTGGACTTGAAGAGATGAGATGAGCTTGATTGTTTCTGATGCTTCTGGATATTTCTTTTCTCTTGGCATTTCGCTAGACTTATATAGATTTCTCACCTATAGTAGTTCCTATGTACTCTACTATCTATCCATCAATCCAACGGGACTATTCCTCAAAGCGTAGGTCCATAACTTGAGATCTCCTCGATGCCGTACTTCCGTATACTCAGCTGCAATACTAATGTGTATCGTGAGTGCGGAATATTCCATCACATTTCTATACCTGCACTTGCGCCAAACCTCCTCCCTTTTCTGGACATTTCACCATTAGCCCCGGCAGTCATGTCTATCGGACTTTATACCACTTGCCTATCTGAAAGGGACCTTTTATAATACCGCTATCACTGATGCAGCATGGCTTCCGAATGTGGACACATCCGTGGCTTCGTGTGAGATGATTGGAGAGGAGTTGAGTCCAGGACCTGATTGTAATCAAGCTTGATTTGGTAAGTGCGCCGAGCCCGGATGTGAAGCGGCATCTCTTACAGCTGGTCTGCGGGAGTTGGCGTGATGTGCCGTATAGAATGACAGGGGGTCAATCTCCGATAACTACTACTTAGAAAGTAATTACGTTATATCTAGAACTTCAGCACATACAAAGATTATCTGGAGTCATAAACAGAAGAATTAGGCATTTAACTTAGGTTTTGAAGATTAGCAGACCCTGATGATCTCTGATCTTGACACGAGAGTTCCATGCATGAATATCCATGCTATTCTGTTATCAGTCGCGATCGGCGCTAAGTTCGGCATAAAGATGCCGTGCAACTGCTTCGCAATAATTGTCCGCTACAAACACGGCAATGATATGCAGCAACCCATTTATTACAGCTAGGGATAAGTCATGAACTTTTGTCGCTGCTAATGATTTCTTATCACATGGGTCTATGCGCTGGTGTTGCGCTATTTTACCAGATCAGTTGTCGCGACGGAGACGGTCCTTTGGAACATCCGAAGCTCCATGCGCAGGGGCCAGCTTCCAATTATCATCGGAGTAGAGACTGGTAAGTAAGCATGGTATTTTCAAAGTCTCCGAAGCATTGTATTCTAGAGAGACGAATCGCTGGTGAGCGCTCCTCAGAGGCGTGTCGCTCAGGATTGAGTTGGAATCTGAATTTTATATATTGCCGGGCCGTCTCAACTTATTGCGGTTGCCCTATTTTCTCATGTCTCTGCCGGTACTTGGCAGTATTGCTTCTCTTTCGAACGCTACAGTCTAGCCTCCAGTCACTCATTTTTGGAAGACGCCACAGACATCCAGACCTTGCCAAGTATTCTACAGCCACTGAGTATGATTTCTATTCCGCTGAAAACCTCTACTAGAGAATATTAATAATGCCAGACCTGCCAAAAGCTTGGCGACGGGCGGTGATACTATAGAAGCTTGTTGTATGTAGTGTAATGCCGTATCATGTGATATCTGTCTCGCGCCCCCGAACCTTGATTAGGGTTCATGATACATCGTCCAAATTGTGAGCTACGCTGTTTATTGGTGTGTGAAATCTGTAGCTCCGAGCTTTTGGTCCACTTACAGAACTCAGTTTCTATGTCCTGTCCCTAGGCAACAGTGAGGGTGATGAATATGTTGTCCGTATGTGTTTATTGGTGTTCTTTACCTTTGTGCGCTGGGGGCTAAAGCTTCTTTTAACCTCCCACAACCTTATCACACTATCTCCTGCAGTCAGAACCCTCAAATGGTTCTGATATGTTGTTTTGAGCTTTACGGTTGGAACAACAGATTTGGTGGTTGTCAAGCCCTCGCGCAAAAGAACTTGTCGTGATGACGATGGATCTCTCTTGACGGACCATACAGGTCAAGGCGCATCTTCTTATCCAAAGAACTGAGAGAAACCGTACTTCACCAGAAATCCTATTGGCCATCATTTTGAGCCAACCCAGCCCCTCAGAGACAAAACTATATCGCTGTACAGTTCAAGTATACCACCACCAAACATCGCAATGAATCCATGAAACTCTCCAACGCGCACATGCCCTAATCTGAAAGCATAAAAATGAGTAATACTGTATATCTGAGTCCTCCCCCTTACTGTGCTCTCAATTTTGAGGACTTCATTCAGAGAATTCCCCCGATGCAGCAATAACCCGTTATGACCGTCCATGGAGGTTCGACACAGCGAGTACTTCAGACAATATATTGTACCTTCTACCAGAGGACAAGATGCGCTGGCACAGTCTGTACGCAGAGGCTCGACTAGAAATACTCGACTTCGTTGCCAACTCCACCATTCATGAAAAAGGCTCCATCGCGCAATACGCCTGCGTGTCACGAGAATGGCAAGATTGGTTCGAGATATTCACGTTCAAACGCGTGGAGATATCAGCCTCCGATATCTTGCCCTTTGTCACCACGTTCATGAATAACCCCCGACGTCGGAAGTATCTCCAATGCATTGGCGTGAGACTCGACCTGCCGACTCACAAACACATTCAACATCCGTTTCTGGACCGGGACAACAAGTTCCTAAACATAAACCAGCAAATGCAAGCCCTCGCACAAAAGTCCCCTACGTTATACGGCAATAGCCCATGGCTGAGGCTTCAAGAGGAGGAAAATAACCGTGTTTTCACGATGATTTTGCGAGGTCTGTTCATGGAGCTTTTCCAGTGGAGGAGGGAGGACTGTCATCACGCCGGCATCGAGCTGGAGATCATTGCTGATGCCAAAAGTCATTGGCAGAAGACTGCGGGAGAATATCGGGCACTCAATCCTCCCACCGATGATGGAAATGGGGAATTGTATAACAGTCTCTCAAGTGATCTTCAAGTCTTCCAACCGCCTCCGTATCACGGGCATAAAGTAATACATGATGGCGAGTTGGACTTTCACATTTGGCTTGAGCTAGACGTGCCTATGGGGGGGAAGTTAGGCCCTGAGGTGCACATCATCTCAAGCCTATCGATTCTTCGCCGAAGTGTTCGCCATTTCGACCCATATGCTATCGCTCACATCGTAAGCCTTCTTCCGCGTCTTAGGGAATTTAAATGGGAGGTCAGACCTCATGCGCGTTGGGAAACCGAGCATAAGTTCCATCGCCATTTGAGGGTGCTTATATCTGCTTTCTCCCCGGCTATGACCAAGATCAGTATTCAGCAGCCGCCAACATCAAAACCGCTGAACAGTACTGGGCCCTCTGAGCACCTTCCAGGCCTTGGCCGACGTCTGATACTCGCATGTCCATTTCTTACCAACATCTACATAGACATTAGTGTCGACGCAACCAGATTCTTCCGCACGTGGGCTTACTTGCAGAATGTTCGAAATGCCTGCGTACGAACTAATCAGGCATTGTTTGACGAAGTTCCCAACTCCTCAAATCATCTTTTCGGCTGGATTGGAGAGGCGGTATCCAATATGCCAAAGCTCAGGGCTCTGTGTGTCTTTAATAAAGTCGACTCTGCATCTTGCACGGTTAACTGTCTCGTTGAGCGTGAGAGCTTTAAAGTCGTTGCCCACTGTAGTTGGCCATTCGAGGTCGGAGATGATACTAAGGCCTGCTGGAGAAAGTCTGGGAGACATCAGTCTGACGAGGGTGTTTGGTTGTTGGTGCAAAGCTCGTACGACACGGTTCAACGTGAGATTATGTTGCAACAGCATTGGCATAGTAGTCTCTGCTAAATATGCTTATCAAAAGACATTCCAACCTATCAAGCATTTCCATCTTTTCGTATCAAATCGTTAAAGCTTCCATCTGCCTTGTTCTACATTAATTGTCTACAGTTTATGCTGACGACCTACAATGCCTCCATCAACAGAACATTGCATCAGGGTCACACGTTCATACCCTTTCCTACACTCCTTCCAAACAGACTTATCAAGACTCGCCCGTGTAAAACCTTGCTTAACACAGAATCCGATATAATAGTTATCGGCATATGTCAAGATATGGGTTATGTGGGAGGAAGTAGCTTTGATATAGTCTTTCAGACGATCAATCAGGGTAGCACCATAGCCCTCTACCTGCTCCTCGGATATCACAGCGCACAAAGCTACCTCAGCGACATTCCAGGTTCCAAGCTGTCGAAATGTTATCCCGCCGATAATCTGCTGGGGCATGCGGACGATAGCGATAGATCGATATTTGGGATCGTTGACAAGATCGAGGTAGTCATTTGATGCCTCCGGATATTGATATCGGTAAATAGACCTGAGATTGTGAAGGATTTCCATACTTTCTTTGCCTCCGTCATTGAAGACAACCCGAAATTGTACGTCGCCATTTCGCTCTGCGATAACAGCAGGCTCAACAATAGTCAGGATTCTTTCTATTTGTTGGATCGTCAAGTCTCACCTTTTCAGGCACAGAAGTCTTTCCGATGTTACCCTTGGGCTTCAAGTGTAGTGCTTTATCAACTGAGACAATGGGGTCCTCGGAAGCTGAGCGCTTCGCGACGCTAGTGAGGTCCCAAGACAGAGATTGTCTACTGTCCATTTGCAATAGTTGAGTGTAAGGTCATGATAACTAAATATATAGAAGAGAAAGAATGATTTAAAAGGAACCTAGAGCAGGAGTGTTTACATATTGGCTAGGGCTGGTAAGCACCTGACCTGCTACATGGCTCTAAAGAGTTGTTGCCTAGAGGTATATTAACCTGCCTGAGGCTACCTAATAAATAAACTCTTGCATCGCATCAGTTTACCTACGCCGGCCTAGATCTGCCTACTCTCTATATCTACTCTAGCTCGCCTTAAGTTACTTGAAACATCTATTGCCATTAACTCTACTGTATAGCGCAGTGTCCCCTTTTCTAAGTTCTGTCCGCTGATTTAAGCTTGTCCCCCTTTCACAGCTCTGGCCAGGATATAATTTTACTCTTCATCCTCCTCTAGCAAGTTATACCACTCGGGGATATCTTTGACAAGGCCCCACATGTACCTCTCCAACTTTACCGCACACTTGGAATACACAGTCGTCGCGTCATTATATTTCCGACAATTGCGGAAAATCAGCTTGAGATCCTTGACAAGATCCTTTGGTGCGGCATAGTAATCGTGCTCCAATCTTTCCAGCATCGTCGATAAGTCCATCGGTGTTACTATGACGTTGTAGTAGTCGGGCACATCGTCCTTGTTGACTGGATGGAGGAAAGGCCATGCTTGTTTGTGGTTTGGAACTTGATATAAAAACCGCCTCATCTCGTTGAAATGAGGCCCGTGCCGTGGTTGCCTTGATAGTTCGTCCATGGCTGGGGACCACCCGGTTGCCCGGATATGAGGAATAGTGAGCGGATCGATTGGAGTGATGATGCCATCGGCCCATTGCTGAGGAGGCTGATGAATGATGTGGCTTTTACTCAAAGGTCGAATCTTTGCGAGCACGGTTTCTTTTTGCTTGAGAAGCATTCGTCCAACCTCCAAATAGCGTATACGGGGTACCATAGAACATTGCATCAGGGTTCCTCCTTCATAGTCTTTAATATAGCCCATCCAAATGGACTTCTCAAGTGAAATATCCTTTGTAAATCCCTGCTTCTGAAAATAGCCAGTAGCATAGTTATCTGCATAGGTTAGGAAGTGCATTACCGGGGACGTTGCCTTGACATAGTCCTTTAAATGGGCCATGAGATGGGCGCCATATCCTTTAACTTGTTGATCTGAAGATACGGCGCAAAACACAATCTCGGCAAATTTCCGTATCCGAAATTCTCGAAATGATATACCGCCGATGACCTCCAGGGGCTTCTTAACAATGGCGATGGATAGATGGGTACGGTCATAGACGAGTCGTGCGATATAGTCCTTTGGCATTTTCGGTAGTTGCTTCTGGAACAAACACTTGAGTCCTGTGAGAAGAATCATGCTCTCTCTTGTACCGTCATTGTTGACAACCCGATACTCTATTTTGCCAGTTCGCTCCTCAACCACAGCAGGCTTTGGAAGAGTTTGGCCGACTGGCATCTATATTGACCAGCGCACTCACTTTGTCTGGGAAGGGTATTCTGTGAGCTATATCCCAGATTCCTGTGTCTGATCTGTCCGACTCGTGATGAGATGTCTTGAATCTTTTGGCATCGGGTGCAGTTTCTGGTTCAATTGAAGCTGGACGTTTCACGATAGCGAGATCTTGCCCGGCAACGGGCGGATGCGCTCCATCATCCATTTGTATCAAGTGGTGGAAAGGCGCTCCGAGCGATGTGTAAAGGACAAAGAATTAAGTTAGGTAGAGTACCAGAACGGTTTAAATAAATACACCCTGTTTTCACGAACACCTGACCAGCCATGTGACCAGGAGGTAATCATTGAGACAACCAACAGACCAATTAAACAATGAGTTAACTTCTCCAGCCAATTACTTCACAAAAGCCTTGACCAACAGAAACCTACTAAGCTTTTAGGTAATCAGGCTTGTCTAAACTCTGAGAGGGATCTGAAGGAGAATTAGAAGTAGCGAAGAAAAAGGCCCCAGGGTTGGTAAGGATCATACTTCGCAGAATTCGAATCTGTAGAATACGGCCACACAGTTATCCGAGGCGCTGAATGGACAGGTTTATTTCAGCCGCTTAGGGGTCTTTTGATATGAATGACTCGATATTTAGTAACGCCTGGATGTCATGATTGATTTGTCTTATACCCAAGCTTAAGACAAGTCGGCTTGAAGCTCAGGCAGGCATGCATGGAATTCAAACACTGCGATTGCCTAGATCAGGTAACGTCACAGCAACATGCAAGCTTGGAAATTTTATGTCAATTTGTAGTCATTTATCCTATCCAAGACTTATCCCAGGCCAACCATGTCCAGATCATTATTATTGTGCCTGCGCTATCCTTCCCGACCCCTTCCATTCTAAGGTATCATGAGTGTATTTTACTCGTACAGCGATCTATTCGAACTACCATCTACGAACAATAGCGCGACGTCCTGGATATGTAGGCGCCACTGTTGCGTTCTTACCCGACACTCCACCAGAGGGTAGAAGAACGGGGATGTCAGGGTGCTGTAGGGCTTCGGCTTCAGCGATTGGCATCTCGCCTGCACCTTCATGAGGCTCCGCGGGCTGAGGTGCAGCGGGATGCTCAGCTGCAGGAGCCTCGTGCGCCATAGTCGCTATTGGCGCGGCTGGGTGTTCGGTAGCAGGCGCTTCGTGGCCCATTGTCGCGACTGGTGCTGCTGGGTGCTCTACGACGACAGGAGTCTCATGAGCTGGTGGTGCTGAGGCAGCGGGATGTTCAATGACAACTGGTGTTTCGTGAGCTGGCGGCGCGGCGGGATGCTCCGCTACAACGGTCTCGTGGGGCGCTGCAACCTCTTCTGCTGGTGCGTATTCAGGAACCTCCACAACAGCTGTCTCGTGCGGTGGTGCTTCATGCTTGGGCTGTTCAATCACCACGACCGGATGCTCTTGAGGAGCTTCGACGGGATGAGCAGTAGGTTGAGCAGCTACGTGTTCTGTGACTGTCTGGATGACAGTGACATGCACTGGCTTCTCGACCTCGACGGTGTGGACAACCTCAACGGGTTTCTCAACTTCAACAGTGTGGATCTGCTGGACTGGCTTCTCAACAACTTGAGTGTGTACTACTGTGACGGGTACCTCGACGTTAACAGGCTTCTCGACTTCAACCACTGAAGTATGGACAACTGTGTTCTCAACCACGGATGTGTGGATGACAGTCACAGGCTTCTCAACGGGTACTTCGACAGGTTGAGTGTGGATCACCGTAACTGGTACTTGAACTGGAACCTCCACAGGCTGGGTGTGAATCACTGTGACGAGCTTCTCGACCTCCACGGGCTGAGTATGGATGACGGTGACAGGTTGTTCAACTGTCTGGTGCACAACAGAAGTTTCAACTACTGTCACAGGTCTCTCAACCTCGACTGGTACAGTGTGAACGACAGTGACTGGCTGCTCAATGGTCTGATGAACAACCGAAGTTTCGACCACCGTGACAGGCTTCTCGACCTCGACTGGTTGGGTATGGATGACTGTGACGGGCTGCTCGATGGTCTGGTGTACGACAGATGTCTCGACAACTGTGACTGGTTGTTCAATCGTTTGGTGGACAGTTTCGATAACTGTAACCGGCTTTTCGACCTCGACTTCGACGGGCTGGGTGTGAATGACTGTAACAGGCAGCTCAACTGTTTGGTGAACAACAGAAGTCTCAACCACAGTAACAGGTTGCTCGATCGTTTGGTGGACCGTCTCAATGACTGTAACAGGCTTCTCGACTTCTTGGTGGACGATCGAAGTCTCGACAACTGTGACTGGTTTCTCAACAGGCACGTGCTGAACCTCCGTCACGGTCGCATGTACCGTCTCGATTTGGTGCACTACCTCGGTCACATGAACAGTCTCGTGGACCGTCTCATGAACAACCTCCCCAGGTATCGTCACGTGCACCGTCTCATGAACAGTGACTGGCTCGCATGCCACAGGTGCAGCCTCCTCAGCAGGAGGATTTCTTCGAAAGAAGGACGGAGAAGCAGTCGCCAGACCTGCAAAGGCGGAAGCAGAAATGATTGTTGAAAAGTGCATGGCAGGCCACAAGCAGTATTAAGGATAAGCGATTAGGAAGGAAAGTTTCGACTCGGCGATACCAGATCGCGAGGTTGATGTGAAGAATGAACGGCAGGTAAATAAATTAAGAAGAAACAAACGACAAGAAGAGAATCGAATGGGAAGGACGATCACAAAACACGCTCCAGGCGGAAATAGAGCGAAAAGAAAGAATGTGTAAAGAGAGAGAGAGAGGGATGAAAAAGGCTAAAAGCGCGGGAAAAGACGAGGTTTTTCTTCGTCTTGGCTATGATGTTTTGGCGTCGCATTTCATCCAGGAACATGAGACGTGGCTACCCTTCGGCCTCTATTGAATCCGCCCCAAAATGTCATGATTTTTGTTCTTCTCGCGCCTCGTTCCCAGCTCGGAAAGTTGGCACGCCGTAGGGAGATGTGTTTGGAGGAGGCATCTTGGCGATGTGCACTTGTCTCAGTTGACTTCCCCTGCTCGATATCAAAGCACAATAGAGTTGACTTAAGCTTAAGAGGCATAACGTTAAGTCAGATAACCTACCCCCCCTGTTTGAAACCGTCGCATTGGCGGGCTTGGCGACCTCCTGGCCCCATGTTTCCCTGCAGCGGAAGGCCTTGGTCCCGGCCTTGGAGACCCCGTCTCTCGGTTTCAGCCTTGTTACTAGATTTTGACTGAGAGCCTGGGGGGAAGTGACTGATGTTATACGAACTTGGGATGAGTTGGCGCCTTCACCAGCGTTTTGGGTTAGCTGTCAAGGTCTCATCTTGACTATCCTGAAACAAAACCCCGCCAAGTCTTGTATCACGGATCTGGCGGCAGGAGGGTCGTGGATTGACGTAAGATAAATAGGCTTGGGAGTTCCTTGCGAAGAATGTTTTCTTTTTTCCTCGTGAACTGTCTAGACTACAGTTCTTGCGAGGTCTTGACAGGCTACACAGGTAGAGTCGTTATCTTATCTCCCATGTCTTATCTTATCTGGCTAGCATCCAATCCAGGCCATCCCAGGCTGCCAGCTGGTTAACAAGTGCGGCTGAGTCTTGCGAGTTAAGTATTCGTAGCATGCTTACTCTTATGATAATTATTTGACCGTAATTCCTCGTAAGCAGCATCCCTCACCAGAATTCTGCAAGGTCCGGGGCTCCTGTGCACAAATCCTCTGTACTCATCCTGGCACGTAATATCACGTAAAGAACCACGACGCGTTATCAGAATGAACGTCTCCTTGGTGCAGCCGTCTTCTGATCGATTAAACCGCCTGTCTGGAATTCCACTTGACATAATCCTCCACCATCTAGACCTTGCAACCTTCACCAACTTGCGTCTCACTTCACGCCAGCTATCTACCAACACTATCCACTCTCGTTTCTTCAGATCCGCCAAGACCGATGTATCGCTGGCTAGTCTACAATCTCTTGCAGATAGAGTGTCTCACCCTCAGCTGTGACCCGTGCTGAGAGAGCTCACTGTTGTTGCAACGCTCTTTGATACTCAGCCAGCCGAAGCTACTGTTCTAACAAGACAGAAATGGTCTGGATTCGACAAGGACGAATTGAGGCGTGATACAGAGAATTATCGTCGACACGTCGAGGATCTATGCGAGAGGAACGTGGCTTGTACAAATGAAGAGGTACAAGAGGCGCAGCGAGATCTTGCTTGGCTAAAGACAAGAATTGAACAAGATACAAACACGGACGTCAGCAAGGTCACTGACTTGCTATCAAGCATCTTTATAAATGCTACCAATCTCCGGGCTATCACTCTAGATGCCTGCATCATCGCAGGTCTTACCAAAACCTGCCAACCTGCAGAACATCACAAATGGTATCGATCCGCCAGCCAGAACTCAAGTTGGCCTTCAGTCTGGTCAGCAGCATCTCAAACCTTCCGCATAATCACCTCAGCCATATCCCGCAGCAGGATCCAGCTTGAAAAACTCCAGATCTTTCCCGGCACGCCGCTATGCAGTGTGCAGCTGAGACACGTTGAAGATCATTTGAGAACGCTGGACTCAGATGGCTTCAGTGATGCTTGCAAAAGCATCCAATCTTTCGAGCTAAGCTTCTCAACACTAAGAAATATTGAAGGAACATCGCTTGGCAAGGCAGAGTGTCTTTTTCGCGATGCCTTTGCAGCAAGGTCTGCCTACAGGCGTAATCGACATCTTGAGTCTGATGCAGAAGACTTCACAGGCGTAGCAACGATTCTTACAAAGATGTCCAATCTCGCGTCTCTGGATCTTCACCTTTATCATTTGGACCACATCATTCTTCCCAGATACACCAAGGTCTTTTCTCGTATCAGCCAAAGTGTTAGTCTCGGCTGTCTGAAGGACCTTTCTCTACGCGGTCTCCCCCTACGACCAGATGACATTATCCACTTTCTAACAAACCACCCCACTATCACAACGGTGTGCCTTGATGGCGTTTTTCTAGTAGGTGGATCGTGGTCAACCGTGTTCTCGTGCATCGAGTCTATGCCTGCTCTGGAGAGCCTTCACCTCAACTCCCTTAGCACAGAACACCATCACATAACGAACCTGGATCCAGTAGAACTCAATTCCGATGTAGACCTGGAAGATAGAGAGAAGTGGGTTCCTTGCGGAGATGGACATATCTTGTACAATCGGATTATGTGCAGAAAGGAAATCTGTCAAGGGTTGGATTTTAGACCTCAGCCGGGACCTCGAAACATTTGGAGTGATGATACGTTGGCGTACTTTGACCGTATCCAGTATGAGTCTGGACCTCCTTCGCACTCATGGGTGTGGGATCCATTGAATGAGAATATGTAGATGCGTTCTTGATCCAGTATGGGGAGAGGGACTTACCCTAGGTAAATATTAAATTCTTTTTTCTTGGAATGCGGCAAGGAGTATGCTTACTATCAACAGTTAGAGATCTAGTTGTAAGATCACTATATCAGAGTTTCATGAGGGAAAACACATTCACGGGTCATGCTGTTACTCTGGCATCAACATGATGCGACTCTCTCCATCTGGGCGATTCGCGATTCGCTAGTGCAAGAACTGCCATTGACAATTAGAAATGCTTACTAGCCATCAAGTTTAAACCTCAGATGAAGTTCGGTGGCTCATCTAAACTCATCCCAAACCTTCGGGGGCTAAATATGTCGTTTACACAGTAAGTCGGCACTGAAGCTATTTTGTGTCGTTGCCAAGCAGCTCCGGGTATTGCGACGGAAATGCGGTAACCAGGGTGATGGTTTTGAGTTTTGTTGAGTGCGACGCGTTTCAGGCATTCACAGTGGGAACAGGATTCACTTCACGGTGCAATTGCAAATGCCGTGCAAGACATTAAATCACGGTCATATCGCTGAGAGCAATCGTCCATCAATATACATTGTTCAAGGAATGTCTATAGTCTAAGTCTAAGTCTACTTTCTAATCGTATCTCGTCAAAGACGACCGATCGCACCCAATCGACACAAGTGCATCGCCCTCCATTAACATAAGGATCGTTTCGTTATTTTCGCGTTGGATCGTTCGTCATGTGCTACCGGTAGCAGCGCGCGCGGTCCGTTCTCTTCTCTTCTCTTGTCTCTCTTTACTGGCGGGTGTTGATTGGAATTCGAGTCTCATTGGAATCTAACATTCTATGCCTTAGCTCCTGTAACATTACAAATCTTAGTCAAAACAAAGTGTTCTTGCGCTGTCCACGAAATGGTGTCCAGGTCTGAACTGGATAATCTCTTATTCAGTCCTGGGTCGCTTCCGGGACTCACCATTCTCTCCCTGCTCCTCAAAGTACTCCAGGCTTCCCTTGGGATCAGCCTTCATGGTCTTTCCGCCCTCCTGCCATCCGGCAGGGCACACCTCGCCGTACTCGTCGGTGAACTGGAAGGCCTTGACGAGGCGGATCGTCTCCTCGACGTCGCGGCCGACGGGGAGGTCGTTGACGGTGATCTGGCGGAGGACGCCCTTGGGGTCGATGATGAAGAGGCCGCGGAGCGCGATGCCCTCGTCCTCGATCAGCACGCCGTAGCTGCGCGAGATCTTGGTGGACTTGTCGGCGATGAGGGGCAGCTCCAGATCGGGGCCCAGACCGCCCTGCTTGCGGGGCTTCTCAACCCACGCGAGGTGGGTGAAGTGGGAGTCGGTGGAAACGCCGAGCACGGTGGTGTTGATCTCGCGGAAGCGGTCGAGGGCGTTGTTGTACTGGATGATCTCGGTAGGGCAGACGAAGGTGAAGTCCATGGGGTAGAAGAGAAGAACGACCCTACGAAGCCTCAGTCAGTACAACCCATCCAGGTTCTCAGGGGGGGAGCGTGAAATCGTACCATTGTCCCTTGAAGTCAGAGAGCTTGATGTCTCTGAACTCACCTCCAGGGAAGAGGGTAGTAGCCGAGAAGTCGGGGGCAGGGCGCTGAACAAAAGCTGAAGACATGATGATGGTGTGTTTTTTGTGATGTCGATTGAAGAAATCTAGAAGGACGAAAAGAAGGGGAGGGAGAAAAGGTTTAAAAACTAAAAAGCTTCGAACGGGAACGCGACTAGAGAAACGGAACGTCTCGTAAAAAAGCAAGCAATCAAGTGTGGAGCCCGCGTTATCAGGGGCCAGGCCCGGTCATTGATGGAACAAGGTAGAAATATCATCAAATTTTAGCGCCATATTAGCTGATACCGTGATAACATACCGGCTGAGCAAGTTAAAGTACCTAAAGCAAAGTAAATTTATGTAATTAGTGCCATTGACTCATGGAATTGTTGGTGGCATCTTTGCTGGCGGTGACGCAAATGTGGACTGACTTATCTCTAGACGGTGTGAATGCCGAACAACGCGTTGAAAAACACGTGCGGTGCCTGCAGCGTCTGCGGAGTCGGTGGCATTTGATTCCAAACTCGCAGCGCCAATCAGCGCATCCAGTTACATCCGGCCCCGGCTTCGGAGTAGCTCGGTTCGGAAAACCGAGCTCACCCTACACCAATCTTATCAGCTGCGATATCGCTGCCATTCTTTGGAATCTGATGTTGATCATGATTGTTCTATTATTAATCTGATAAAAAAGATATCTACTTTTTACTCCATTGCTAACTTTTGTGCTCTTTGTGGCGAGGAGATTGGCTTCGTGGATTATCTCTGACATGTCGTCGAGCGCTAATTGCGGGCTCAGTGCACAGATCCTCAACGCTACCTTTCCTCGAACCTTGGTTGTCAAGATGCCAGCTTTGTTGCTTGATATGAGACTCTTTGAGATACCGCTGTTGATAGCCTCAAGATCATCTTCCGACAAACCCTTGGGCGCATAACGGAATGTTATAACGCCCAAGCTAGCAGCGCTGACAATCTCCCAGTCAGGTAATTTTCTCAACTCCTCCTCCGCCCGCTCAGCAAGATCGAATCCATGATCAATCATCTCCCCAATCCTCTCAACACCAATAACTCTCAGTGTAAACCACAGCTTCATAGCTCGACTCGCAGGTCTAGTGAGCTCCATGCTATAGTTCCAAAAGTTGGGGATATCCTCATCCTCAATCGCTACACCATCGCGCAGATAATCGCCCTCGTTCGCAAAGCTTCGGACCAGATTCGCTTTGTCTTTTACCAAGAGAAGACCGCAGCTGTAGGTTTGGAAGAGCCATTTGTGAGCGTCCCATGACATGCTGTCGGCGTACTTGAGGCCGTCGACTGTCTCGTGGCGTGTCGCGGATAGAGTTGCTGATGCGCCGTAAGCGCCATCGACGTGTAGCCAGATTTGTTCCCTTCTACAAATCTCTGCGATGTCGGGTAGAGGATCAATGGCGCCCGTGTTTGTGGTTCCACAAGTCCCAACCACCAAAAACGGTACAAGGCCTGCTTTGCGATCATCCTGAATTGTTTTGGCCAAAAGAACTGGATCAAGTCTGAAGTTCTCATCCGCAGGTAACCGTCGGATCTGCTCTTTATCGAATCCAAGCAACTTCATAGCTTTTGCAACAGAGTGATGCGTCTGGTCCGAGAGATATGCAATAGCCTTTCCGGTTTCACCATGTGGCACAAAGCGATCCCTCGCTAGCACAATCCCCATCAAATTCGCCATTGAACCACCCGACACACAAATCCCGCCTGCACTGGCTGGAAACCCAACCCTCCCCGCCAACCACTCAATCAAGGTCTTCTCAATGACAACAGGTCCTGAGGCTTGCAGCTTGGAAGCACCGAGTGCATTGAATGCACTGGCTACAATGTCGCCTAGCCAAGCGACGGGGGATGTAGGTGAGGGGATGAAGCCCATGAAGCGAGGATGGTTGACGCGCATGCGGTGGTCGAATGCGGTGAAGGCTTCTTTGAGGACTTGGTCGATTGAGTGCGCTTGACCTGGCGTTCCTATCCTTTGGAGGTAGGGAACGTCTGAGGGTTGAGCGACTTTGATGATGGGGTCGTTTTTAACATTTTGTGTTGTGGTTGCTAAGCGCTGTGTTATGGATTGCAGAGCTGAGCAAACTGCTTCAAGCTCGTCATTGTGATAAAAAGAACCCATGATAAAATATTGCGAAATTGTCTGTTTATGTTCTCAATTCTTGATGTCACCAAGGCCATCTTAAATATCTCTATACTCTGATGTCTCCATTTTTGCTATTCACATATATCTCCATCAACCAATGTTACCCTCGCGCCCTCTATGTCCAGATCAGTGGGGCTATTCATTCAACTTGGCATGTCAATCGTACGCCTTTCGAGAAATTTGTAGATCCCGTCAGCATTTCGCAAATGCTTAGCTGTCATAGGCTGTGAAACTTGAAACTAGCGACGTTGGATTATCTGACGAGACCCGTTTTGCCGTTTTGGGTAATTTTTGGAGAGGTTCGGATATCCGAGATCTGCTGATGGAGCGATTTCTAAGCTTGGATGGATTATGATGGAATAGCGAGAAGTGGCGAGGGGATTGTTAGCGAGGATGATACGTCGTAGCCGTTTCGTTGTTGTACATGTATTACGATAATGGTGATAATCTCAAGGCGTATGGTGGGTCTGTGTTAACTATCATCCTGGCATGGCAGTGAGCACAAACGCCACCCAGCCAGAGCACTGGGCGATTGTTGAAAGAGTGTCATGGCGGAATCAGTGATTTTTCACTGTTCAGTGGACTTTACTCAGCACCGAGACAATGCATGTCTCGACATCGTATTGGCTCATCATCATGTTGTGATTGGCTCAGAGACTCGGGTACCTATCAGGCTGCAACTTCACTCTTGCTTTTCTTGTCCTCCGAGACATAACAAGCACTTTTGGCAGCTATCTCAATGCATACTGAATCTGTGCCTTCTACAAACTTGTGCCTAAATGTCACCTCAGCTGAGATATGTCCGCATGGACATGGACGATCTCGCTTGGGAAAGAAACGACAACGACCTTGAGGAATGGGAACGATCCTTGAACAAAGCCACTATCTATCGTGGCATCGCGAACTTCATCCTCAAGTATCGCCCCGGGAAGGCTGTGGAGCTACACAGACCCATCAAGGGTGGCTATAATGTCTTCTATCGATTAGAGTACGCGGATGGTACCTCTGCTGCCATCAGAATTCCAAGCCCAGGTACTTATGGCCACCCTACCAGACAGAGAAAACAAGACAGGGCTGACCTACGATAAGCAACCAAGTTCCCAGACGAAAAGGTTCGCTATGAAGTAGCAACAATGAGATATGTCGCCGCCAATACCACCATTCCTGTACCCAGGATATATCACTGGGGGACGGCAGAAGAGAATCCGTTGGGCCTCGGACCATTCATGATAATGGAGTTTATTGAGCATGAGACAACTCTGTCTCACGCTCTCAATGATCCAACACTAGAACCGACGGATTCCCACTCACTTGATCCCCACATCAGCATCGAGAAGCTTGAGTTTCTATACCGTCAAATGGCAAATACCCGTCTCCAACTCTCATCCCTCTCTTTCCCAAGAATCGGTTCCCTAGTTGAAGATGAAGAGGGGAATATGTCTATATGTGGAAGGCCACTTTTGCAGAATATGAACTCCATCCTCGATCTCACCGGCTCACCGTCAAGTCTGCTACCTGTTAAAGATCAACCTTTCGCCACATCAACCGAGTGGTATTCAGCCATGGCCGACATGAATCTAATACAGCTGGCGTTTCAACAAAACAATGCTGTTGAAGATGAGGATGACGCTCGCGATAAGTATGTTGCTCGCCAGCTATTCCGGAACCTTGCCTCAGAAGGACGACTGGAAGCCAGATCAAGCAAAGAGGGCGGAAACAACTTCCGACTCTTTTCTGAAGACCTACGACCTTCCAACGTCTTGATCGACAAGGACCTCAAAGTCGTCGGCGTTATCGACTGGGAATTTGCTTATGCAGCCCCAGCGGAATTCGCCTTTGACCCTCCCTGGTGGCTTCTCTTAAAATACCCGGAGTACTGGCCAGGTGGATACGAGAGCTGGATGAAAGCATGTGAGCCTCGCTTTAGAACCTTTATTTCTGTCCTGCAGGATGAGGAGAGAAAACTCCAGTCAGACAGAGATATCGAAGATGGTCTGGAAAACCTACAAATCTCCAAAAACGAGACTTTCTCACTTTCACAGCAGATGAAGGAGAGCTGGGAAAGCAGAGAGTGGATGATTCGGTACGTAGCTAGAAATAGCTGGGCCTTCGACTTTGTCTTCTGGAGATATTTGGATCCTATGTTCTTTGGGGATAATGATGATGGTGATTATCGGGCGAGATTGTGCAACCTGAGTCAGAAGCAACAAGATGCTCTGGAGCCTTTTGTTCAGTTCAAAATCGCCCAGGAGAAGGAAAGGAAACTGGTGCAGTGGGGTGACGAAGATGCCAAGAGAGAACTTTGCAAGATTATGGTATTAGGAGAGTGAGGAGCCTGCTACATTACATCCACATGCCCCTAATCGGCGTGTCCCTATATTGCGGTTCCTTTATATCAAAATGCCCCCATTCTCTAACCGTAGGATTAGCTCATCTATCGCATGATTCCTATTATTTCGCCTACTGCCACTAACACAACCGCTCAAGCGGATTGGCCTTTTTCTACGACGCGACACGACCAAGATTGTGATATATTCCTAATCGAGCTGTCTGCAGTACACTCGGGTGGCTATACCGGATAAATCCATTGCTTTCCCTGAAATGTAGCAACTTACGCTTTAGCTGTTGTGATTGGATGATGATGACGCTTAGCATGATTCTTTGCAAGGCTTATGCGTCATTAACTCAGTTTTCCTTCGCTAATCTCACATCTCGATCTTTCACTTTAGCAGACCCAGAACAACTGAGTGTCATAATCGAAGCAATAATCAAGACGAACCAGTAATGATAAAGAAAGTTCGTCATGGTGTCCGGGGCACTAAGAAAGTCACTACGGGATGTCTGACATGCAAGTAAGGAGCACCCCCCGCACCGCGCGGAATGTACCTGTTAAGTCAGCAATAGAAGCAGACATAAGAAGTGCGACGAGGTCAGACCGGCTTGATCACCTTGTATTAAAGCGGGTTGGAAATGTGACTTTGTCTCATCGGCTCCCCCGTGCACGGCGACTCCTCTCATTTGCAGTCTGCAATACCCTTCTGCCAAGCCTTTACTGGCTGGTGAGTATCAGCACATGGAGTATTTTCGGGTCGTGTGCGCTGGGGAATTTTCTTTATTTTTTGAGGTCGCTGAGTGGAAAGACATTATCGTCAAGGGCACTCTCGTTGAGCCAGCATTGCATCATGCGGCCCTAGCAATTGGGGCCTTGGCTAGCAGCCGTTACCATCCTAACGTATGGCAAAGCACCCCCGCGATCGTCTTTTCAATACGACATTATAGCATGGCCATCCGGGACTTACAAGCTCGGCTTGATGCATCTCCCCAAAATGCAGAGATTGCCGTCTTGGCGACCGTCCTCTTTAGCTACATTGAATTTCTTCTGGATATCGACAGTCGAGTGGGGATGCATATCGAGGCGGGAAGCTCTATGCTTGAGAACCTCCGCACGAGGCAAGATATGACACTCACCCTTTCTAGTCAGGCTGGATTGAATGGCGAGGTTGGCAGTTCATCTACTAGGTATCATCTCCTTGCTCGTGCTATGCATCAGGTCACTACTCAAATTACTTCTCTCGAACGATGGCAGTTGTTAAATAGATAACTTGGACTGAAATAATAACTGACAAGATATTGGTTCATGCCGGCCTGTGCTCAAGGGTCCTCAGTGCAATGAAATACACCAAGATGTACGCTGGTCAGCAGTTCTTTACCAGCTTCGGTCTAACATTCTGCCGCTGGGCGTGTGGAGTACACAACCAATCGCTGTCTTCAAAGCGTAACTTTTGTTTTGTGATTCGATGAACGAAAACCCCAAACCAGAGAGAGAAGCCACATCACTAACCTCAATCGGTAAAAAGTGTCATACTCCCGTATTCATCGCCGCTACGCCAACGCTGACAGCCATGGACTACGAAGGTAAAGCCATCTGTATACAGTCGATTGAATACTGGTGTCTGAAAATGCAGAGCTTCTCGGTCTTTTGCGACATAAGCGTTGGAATATAAATATAGACGTAGTCAGGTATCTAATTTTCAAGGCTCCGGAATCCTTAGTTCTTTACCTCCTAGATCGCATACCAGCCAGTTCCCCCTTCACCACCATCAGAGACTCATCGCGCAGCGATTTAAATACTGGTCATTGACTACAGTCAACTATGGCCTTCTCACGCTCAACCCATACTACAACGCGCGGTTTCACCTACTCTTACGTTCATATCCCGTCCCAGCTCCCAAACACTCAATACTTTCTCTTCCTACACGGGTTCCCCTCTACCTCGTATCACTGGCGTCATCAGATTTCCTTCTTTGAGGCAAAAGGCTATGGCGTCATAGCACCAGACTTGCTTGGTTTCGGGGAGACGTCAAGACCGACTGAGTTAGAGATGTACAAGGGTGAGGATATGACAAGGGATGTTGTTGAAATCTTGACCTCAGAGGGCGTTGAAATGGTGGTGGGCGTGGCACATGATTGGTATGTTAAGCTCGTTCGCTTTTCTGGCCATGATATCTGAGCCGTTCTGAAGGACCAGAGAACTGTAACGATACTAACGTCTTATTCTTCAGGGGGTGTTTTCTTTTGTCACGGCTAGCAAACTATCATCCCGAGCGCTTTTCGGCCTATGCGTTCATCGACCACGGATACATGGCGCCTGGCCGTAGCCTCACTACCGCGGCGGTACACCATATCAATAAATCGGTGGAAGAAAAACTTGGGTTTTCGATCCTGGGGTATTTCCTTTTGTTCGATGAAGAGGATGCTCCTAAGCTCTTAGATGAACATGTAAGTTCTTTCTAAATCCGGTCGAGTTTGAGTTGCTAAACTATTCGCAACAATGTAGTCCGACTCGGTAGAATCCCTCTACTTTACCGCGGACGAAGAGATTACCAAGAAGTACAAGGGTGCTCTGGGTGGTTTACGCTCGTGGTTGACCGAGGGTAGGACTACCGAGTTGCCATATTTGACATCAGAGGTGGGAATTCGACCCAAGATGCATGAAGTTCCATTCGAATTAACGTACACGTGATAGGATCACAAACATTATGAACACGCCTTCTCCAAGGAGAAAGGTGGCTATGGGGCCGCGATCAACTGTTATAGGTCTAGTCTGCGTAACATTAACCAAGATGACGAACGGAGTATGTACTGCCTTGCGTCTCTTACTCTCTGCAGCCTTCACTACCTGACTGGATATTGATCTCTGGCACCTCCTCTTCCATATTTTACTAACACAATATCAGAAATCGCAACGGCTGCCCATGCCCTCACGCACCCAACCCTCTTAATCGCGTCAACGAACGTCATCACTGCCGCAACGAACATCCCAGAGCAGATGCGCCCTTTCGTGCCCGATCTTACAGTCGAGCAAGTTTCTGGTGGGCATTGGCTGCAGCTAGAGAAGCCAGATGAGGTGAATGAAATTCTGGATAGGTTCGTAGCAAAGCTGGGAAGCGATTGATCAAACTTTTGAAGAGAGTCTATGACCAGCTGACCTTAACATCCCTTGAGATCCGGTAACGCTTGGAGAAGAGATGGTTCTATAGTAGCCCAGTGTCATATCTAATTTATGTGCCTCTGGCGCATCGGAATTGGAGAACCTCGAGACAACGTAGTCCCAGAGACCTCGTTCAAATTTAAACATACATTTTGAAGCCTTCTTTTGACATGTTGTAAAGGTCTGTGATACTGATTTCGACATGGACCGGGTACGGCGTTGTGAAGCAGCCCCCGGTTCAAGAAATTTGTGATAAATCGCATGTCCATAGCCCTGCGATCCCCGAGTAGGGAGCTCCGAGATGTAATGCTGTCTATCGAATCAGAGAAGTCTCTGACCGAGCTGGTACGGCAGGATCCGAGGACCCATGGATCGACGGACAGATGTCCGAAAAGCAGAGGGCGCTAATTCCTGTTGATCCCCCGCTATCCGTATATGGTCCTATCGGCAGGGCAGGAATCATGGACGGGAACTTGATGCTTAAAGATTTCCTTGTGGATTAATGGGCCCACGCTCTGTGTATTCAGCTAGTGCTGACTCCGAGCTGTATCGGAACCAAACTATGTCCCGTGGCTGGAAAACTTTAACCGCAATAGTCCGCAAAACAAGACGGGAAAGGATCTAAGTGTGATAAAGGATTTCTGACTGCGTCATCATGTACTGGGTACCTTTATTGAAATGCCACCGTGCCAAGTAATCGTCCTGAGAAACAAGCTCTTGTCATGGCGCATGTCCTGGGGACTAGCTCTCGGACTCTCGCACCAGCCCACTAGGGTACACACGCAGAAGCATGGCTGGTCTGGGGTAATAAGCAGTTCGGAAAGTTTTCAGCATTATACTCTAACTAGGCCACCTTTGAACAAGAAAGATTGCCATAAGTCATAACGAATTCGCTTAACTCGGCATTTTTCTGGCTTGCATAGAGAATCATTGGGCTGACTTTTGGGCCAACTGCTTACTTTACAGAAGGCTTTATGCAAGCATAAGCCCATAACCGGTGAACCGCAAGTCGTTGCCCGCAATAAACCGTATCACATTAATCACTTTGCAAGAACCTCTATTGTGTTACAATGAAGGATTGCTGACAGGCAGTCGGCAACTTATCACTCTTGGCATTAAAGTTCTGTACTAAGAAATCGGGAAATGAGGCAATTCTCCGACTCTGCAGCTGGATATCGAGATCGAGTACTGCACTACACTTGGGCAGCTAATAGAGACTCAAGGTTAATGGTGGGAAGCGGACCGCTATACTGCCAAGGATCTCGATGTAGAATGCGGGTATTCAGCTCCGTGTAGATCTCACCCATTTGTAGCCGCGCTGTTCTAACCCTGTACTTAGTTGCAGTCTGCTTACTATAGAAGCTTAGTCTTCGAGATATCACAGCATGACAAGTCTGGTACAAGGCAAAGTATGTGTCATGACAACTGTGAAGGATTCACCGTGATGCTTTAGTACTTCGAGCCGAATCGGGATTGAGGCGGGTTGATCATATTGTTCCGTCAGCTATCATAGAACCAGCAAATTGATATCTGGATGACTATAAATATGTGTTGACTTCCTACTGCTCTTGTTTCGTCTACAAACATTCCAATCGACTCATCCTGAAGTCAAAGAAACAAGGCCTTCTTCTTTCACCTCTAACAGCCACGATGATCTCAGTAAGTCTTAGAATCAACTATGGGGAAAGAAAGAGAATCTAATATTACCAGCTACGTTCTGCCTTGACCCTTCTGGCCCTTCCAGCCATCGCTGCAGCAGGCAATGTCTGTCTCGGCGTCTTTGCTGTAGCTGGTCTCGGCGACGCTCCCCCTGACGTCTACTACGTCGCCTTCGCTGCGGGATCCCCCTGTGACGAAAGTCGATCAGCAAGCTTGACAGATACTCTCAATGAGAACTGGTGCTCTATTGCCAACCGCGCCCCTCAGTTCGACATGTGCGGCAGCAGCGCTACCATCTTCAATGCTGGAGAGCCCATTGGTGATGACGCAGACTTCAATGACTGCGGTGCCAAGCTGAGCATCAACGGGGAGGAGTTCGATGGTGAGGTTCTTGATGATCTGGCGGAAGATAACCCCTGCAGTGCTACATGCAACAATGGTATTGCCTTTGGTAATATCGGTGGTCTGAGACACTATGTTGGTGTGCCTATGTGCGACTAATGGCGGGAAGGTTTATTTAGAGAATATTACAATAAGTTAATTTAGTTATCTATATATATATAGTAACTATTCAAGAGTATAAAGAAAGTATAATTGATTTATAGCTTAACAAAGCCACTAATAGATTACCTGTTATATTATTTTCTCTTACTTGAAACTACTAGATACATATAACACAAGACCTTGATACATAGTCCTTCACACCTAAGCCATTCTCTGTGACGAGTCGACTGCGATCATGTTATCTTCGCTTAATTCTTCCCAATCCGTGTAATCATCATCGCTTAGACTTTCCTCATCTGCGTTATTGTCTTCCCAAGAATCCTGCCGAAGAGGATCCAGAGTGATGTGATCAGTTGAGGCAGGTACAGGATAAACCTTGGAGTACTGGTCGCTTAATGGCGCTTCAATCATGTCTCTGATCAAGCTATCCTCTAAAAGCTTGATGTCATCGCTTTCAATATAGGCCTTCTGAGCGTCAACTCGTGTCTGAACGTTCAGTAACCCCGGGGCCAGTTCCAGGCACTTTATAAATGCGTCTTGAGCATCCATGGGTTGGTTGTAGAAGTCATACTACGTGCTCAGTTAAAGAAGTGTTAATTGAATCACGAGTAAGGAAGCTTACCAAGACACCGAGGTTATACCAGGGCTCGAAGAGATAAGCATTAAGCCTGATAGCGCGGCTTAAACCGTCGAGTGAATCTCGGGACTGATCTACACGGAAGTACAGTATAGCAGTCGTTATCCAGAAAGAAGGGCAATTCGGTTCGATGTATATAGCACTTTGAAGGCATTCATGAGCTCTTTCAAAGTCCTGCAGCTCGATGCATGCTCGACCTAAGAGGTACCAATTTTCGGCAATGAAACTATCTGAGTGGACTTAGTATCATGAGATTCAGCTAAAGCTGGGGAATGCTGGATCATTCTAACCTGATTTAACGGCGATTTCTAAGTGTTCTCTTGCAACCTGAACCGAATTATATGCAAATCTTCCTTCTGCAGTTCGAAGAAGTTCAAGTCCAATGAAGGCGTTTGCCATGGGGTGAGTTGGAGTTTCACTCAATACACGCTGAGCATCGTCCATATTCTGTATAGGCTCCATCGATTGGAGGTACCTGACCCTACGAAAGGTTTGTGTTTTTTCGTCCGAAATTATGGAGGGTATTTGAGGACCTAATTCCGTCTTCGTTCTTCTGTGCATTCTGAAAGAACTACCAGGATGTAAGTTAGACTCGATATCATTGTATAACTTTATTAGCGGTGTTGACGTAAAGGTTGTTGTAGACCATCGACCACATAGAGTACTATTGAGATAAGTGTTAATAACGCATTTGAAACAGAAGATATTTGCTATATACTCACCAGACCTTCCGGTTCACATGCTGCAAAACTTGCTCGGCAAGTGTCCCGGGGCAGTCTAAATCCATGCAGCTTTCAAGCGAGTGGTCTCTTCTAACAACCATGGCTTGCTCGACGTGGAAGCCAGGTTTTACAGACATTGCCCAAGTTTCATGATCGACATGTTTTCCAGTCTTAGCATTCAACACGTTGAATAGGTTCTGAGTAATATAATCTGCTCCGGGCCTGTTGTTGGCATAGACTACGAATCGGAGCATGTCGTTGAAGGACTACGTCGATGTTAACTGTCTTCCTCTCCAATGAAACTCCGATATACCTGCTGCTTACCCTCCAAGTTGTACAAGCTTGTAGCGGTAAGGCCCAGCTTTCCCCATGTGCATCATCTAGTCGAACGATATCAAGAGTAAGATGCAGTGGTATTGCCTCAATAGCTCGTATAATGTGTTTTAGTTGCGCGGTGATATCAAGAAGCATATGCCTGTAATGTTGTCAGTAGGCTCAATAATGTTTATGTCAAGAACACTTGCGTGTTTCTGCTAATAGCTTGAAGCATTTCTTTCGAGCATCTGGTCAGACTGGAAGTCCGTTAGTTGATAGAGATCGAATTCTTAAAGGATTGCGTACAGCTTAAAAAGGTCTTTTAGGTTTTGCATAACGCGAAATAGAATCTTGACGTGGCGACCTAAGAAAGCTGTTTGGCGACGAACCATTCCTGTAGTGTTCTCAGATTTCTGCGCGAGGCCAAGCATTGTCTTCTCAATAGCATTCAAATTCTTATTGATCATGTTGGCTTGCTTGGACTGTGCTTCGGCATTAGTATTTGCATCAACTGCCAGTGTGTCGATCGCACTCTGTGTTCTCGATGTTATGGTCAGGATGTTCGATGCGTGTCCTGCTATGGTATTTGCATGTTTCTCAAGAATCAAGAACTGGCTGGTCCCAATGTTACGAGACTGTAATGCGATGTGCTCGATACGATTCCTTACATTCTGTTAGTCTCCTCAACACCTACCAGTAGGTAAAGTAAAACTTACATCTGCTGAACGCTTAGAAGGATATTGATAGCAGCCATCTGAGACAGAATAGTTTTCCTTAGGTCCTCCACATCGCCTTGCGCTATCATAGACCAATGAAGCCGGGTTCCGATACTGCTTAGGCTTCTGGTAGTTTTGAAGTGGCCCAAGCTGCTTTCTTTTGCTCGCATCTTCTCAGCCATGGACTGCAGGGGCTGCTTGCAATGCATGATAATAGCTCTGACTTTCTCCATGGTCTGGTGCTCTGTAGGGGATTCAGGCTCTAACATCATGACGTGCTTTAGGGTGCTGTGCATAAGATCCAGTTCGACATAAAGCCGTTGAAAATGCATCGGGGCACCCTTATAGTTGCGCAGCTCGATGGCAATACGCTCAAAGAGGCCAAGGATGGCGATAACGTCCCCCACGGCATATCCAAAAGACATTTTCACGTAGTATGGCGATGGTCGATTTGCCTTCAGGTGCTGCGTGTTCTGTTTCATTAGCTCAGCCTCATTTTTAAAGCTGTTGGTCCTAACCCCGTTATGCCAATCATGCATGACGTGTTCTATTAAATAAACAGGGATTAATTGGATATCGTAAAAAAAGAGATTTTCAATTCACAGCCTGCCTAGAGAGGCCTTATGCAGCCTATGGCCACCGATTCTGATTGGTCATGCAGATGGACAGGCATATTTCGAGACACAGCCACCATTCAATGTTGAATTTGCGATAAGGCATTATTGCAAGCCTCCTGCTTGATAGTAGCAGAGTTTACCGTAGTTCTCACTGCCTCTAGCCATTTCCCACCAGTGCTTGAGCATGTTCGTATATTGAGCAATAGAATAATTATCCCTATGCCTTAATGGTCGTATATCTGCTTAATATATCAGCAACGTGTTGCCTGACATAATCTAAGTTACTTTCCACATTTTTCCACTTATGAACGTCGTCTTGTTGGTCCACCGCGCCATGAGCCTAGTTTCAAGGCCTGGGTGTATATAAAGTTCTACTCAACACGATAAACTCGTCGTAGTCTCACGATTCGTGGAACATCTAATCTACAGCAAGCATAACTCTTGCCACAGCTGAATTCTTTAGCTCTGATTCACTACTTGGACTCGCTTCGCTTTTTTCACTTGCTAGCCTCTACAACATGCATCAAGTCTTCAAACCTCAAGCCAGTCAAGAGAACCTGTTCTCATTTGACAATACTCCAACTGACCTTTTCCGTCTCTATTCTCCTAGTTCAAACGGCTACAGAACATCTGAATGTGTCGAGTCTCTAGCCTCTCCTAATCACTCAAGCACAAAACACAATTGGGGCTCACCCCGTGGCACAGACCTGTTACAGCTTTCATCTTCAGAGGCGGCCGTAGGGCCAAAAGCTCATCTGAAATGGAATCTGTTATGCTGGCCGAAGTCCTTATAATCTCATGTCCTGATCAAGTCCCTCCTTTTCTTTCTTCAACCTGGTTTTTATCGTCACCAGATAGACCCTGAGAGGGGGGGGGGGGGGCCTCGACCAAACCTCTCAGATATCAAGACGATAATGATTGATACCCGAGACTTCCCACTTATTACCCCGAAACTTAGGTTTTTCTATTTTTGATTTGGTGACGAATAGCATTCATAGCAATTCTTCATGGCTTCAGTCGTATGCTGGGGTATACAGTGGTAAGACAGCTGCGATCCTTCTTCATGAGACATTGTAGAGTTTCTTTATTTACAGGACGAATAACAACATAAAATTGACCCAGGTAACCGCCATGATAGACCCTGTCATCTTTCCTGCGGTATTGCCAACTGTTTCCGTAGTAGAAGCTACAGCCGTAATGGCTATGGCCCCAGAAGTCACTATTGCAGTTAGCTTTCTTGCCTTAACCTCAATACTAGAGACAACAGATATGGCTATATATACATACAAGGTCTATAAGAAGGAGAATTACTATACAATCTTGTTAATATCTATTGCAACAATTATCAGTAGCGTATTATAATCTTTATTTCCGTAAGACTCTTACGGTCTGCATCCTTACTGTTTTGTGCCATGTAACTTACATAAAGGCCTATTATACCAGCAACATCAAAGCTCCTATTTATGTAAATACAAGCTACCTCCATGGGTTCACTAACTCCACAAACTAGCCTTTGAGGACCATAAACTGACAAAAAGAAGGTTGACAAGCAGGTGCCTTACCGCTCGAGGCTCATACCTGTCTGGAAGTCAATCCGCAATCGGGTTGGCAAACCAGTACCAAGCAGCTACCAGGAAACATATGATGGCTATGGGTGCAAGCCAATTTGGCTCATTTGTTTCAGAATCGACTTGATCGTCGTAACGCTGCTCTATTCTAAAGCGGCTTTGCTGTGATGGAATAGCGCCCTGCCTCACTGGCACAGATTGCTGGGGTTGATATACGCTGCTTGGATAGGCATAGACTCTCGGAGCGTTCGCAGTGGTAAGGACTGAAGCATACGATCGGGTGTTTGACGCCGTCGCGCTTTGGTTGAATGTCCCATAAGTTGCCGAGAGAGGGGGACGAGATGTCCTCGCAAAACTCGTACCACGACCAAGTCCTTGATGGCTGACACGGACGGGAACAGGAACCTCGCTGTAAGCCGACTGAGCTACCCGCTCAAATATGCCATGGCCTTTGAGTCTGACAGCCAGTTCCCCAAGATTTCGCTTCCACAATTCTGAGGTAAGTATCTGGTAGGATGATGTCTCCAAGTGGAGATCATTGTCGCGCCAACAAGAGCGAAGCGCTGCAAACGGAATTTCGTGAATATCCTTGATGTTAACGTAGGAATTCTTTTTCATAATCTTTCCGTGTGCAGTAATAAGATCGCAGCGGGTGTCTGGGTGTATGGCTGGACGTATTGGGAGGTAGGATTGTCGTCGGATGGGATCCGGATGACGATTCTCGATCGGCGTGCCGTCAAAGCTCGTCACCTGGCGGTATTTGTTAGCCATGTTATGCGTCAAGGCAAGCTGTAGTATAGGAAATTCTGGAACTGACAATAAACACTGCCACCTTGCCACGATGAACCTCTTTTGAGAGGATAACAACTGGATGGTTGAAAATGCCGCTTGTGATGGGCAGGGTCGTTGTTATCCTCGCCTCAACCTCTGCTCTGTTTGGTAGCATCATTATTCGGCCCTCTAGATGTGGACATTCTCTGGCTTGGTGAGGATGAAACATGGCCAAGGGAGGCACTTGGTCCAGAAGTGCGACAGTAACACTGATCTTGTTGTGCTATATGATAGTATCGACGAGATAACTTCAATGCGGTACGACGATGAATCAACATAACCACCAAAACGGATAGTGAGTGGCGGACAATGTTAGCAGGCGGAAAGAGTTAGCCGCTGAAAATGATCAAATGGAGCCCGGCGCAGTCTGTGAGTCTGCCTAATGATGCGGCCTGCGGCCACACCAGGTCAATCACTTAGCTTTAGGGGCACCAAGTGTAATATGAGTGGGGGGAGGGCTTGAAATTGGCCAAGGATGTATAACTTCGACATTGTGTCTATACCCTATTGGCCTTTGATGTTGGGCGGTTAACTTAACCCCCAATAGCGTTGTTTGAAATATGCTGTTGGTCGTTGCGATCTTGGGCAATGAGGTGGTGGGACTTAGAGCGTGATTGGTCTATCAGAGAGGAAAGAGAAAAGAAAAGGATTGCAGTGCAGAACTTCAGGTCATTCATTCTCAAGGTTACCCACCAACCTGGCAAAAGCCAATAACTATACCACTTGACTTTTCCCTCTAAATTATTAACTTCCTCTTATTATTAAAGGCGAGCATGAGCTAAAATAGAGAATACTTAGCTTGTTGTAACTGGCTAGTAATATGAGAATGTAGTAGACGATGAAAGAGGCCCCTCCCTATTTATTTGTAAAATGCATAAAAAAGAACAAAATGAAAGCCTCGCTGACGCTCGCAATCGAATATAGGAACAGCCCGATGCGGGGGTCGAACCCGCAACCTTGAGATCGCGTACTCGTAAGAGTCTCACGCTCTACCGATTGAGCTAACCGGGCGTGGCTCTTAATTGTTAAGAAGGATGCTCAAGTTTGTCATTATGGTGAGTTACAGAGCTGGCTGGCAGCTGCAGGATCACCATTGAGGGCATTGCACGTGTAGTTTTGTCGATGAACGCAGCAAGATACTGACCAAACATTCAGGTTCAACGCTTATTTTATGCCGACTCAGTTAGTGTATTACTGGACGTATGTAGTGAGTAATTAATTACGCATGAATGCAAAGATAAAAAAGTAAGGCAAATCAATCATCCTAATATTTATGGTAAAATACTCGAATTCGCTTCTAAAATCATGAGCGCCCATCATAAATTCCAATAGACCCAGCCATCATGACAAACCTCAAACAGTAAAGCGGAACCTCGGGTTTCTCTCACCCATAGACTCAATTTCCTCCTCAGTCTTACCCTCAAGCAAGTAATCCTGCTTACCCTCATCACGAAGTTTATTCTGTCTCTTGAAGTGAAGATGGAGGATGATGTTGAGGATCAACGACACAACAAGCATTCCCATGCTGGCACCGTAGCCAGGGCGGTAGTGAGGCGCATACTGGCTAGAGAAGAGGAAGGGAGATGCGACACCAGAGGCGTTACCGATGGTCAGATGCATACCTGTCGAAAAAGCTCGCTTTCCGTAGCGGGGGTTGTTGGCAGGAACCCAAGCGAAGGAAATACCGGATGAGAGAAAGATGCCGATTGAGACGAAGCAGCAGCCTGCGTACGAGACAGCGGCGCCCTTGCCTGCGATGAGCATACCATAACCAATGATGGCGGATCCAATGCCTCCCATGACGAAGAAGCCCCTCTTTTGCGTAATGTCACTGAGACGGGCGCCGATGAGATAAGTGATGGCTCCGATAGCGTAGACGGGAACAGTCATAGCTTGAACCTCGGCAGAAGACCAGGTACCCATAGCTTTGACAATGGTGGGCAGGAAGACGACAAAGGAGTAGAGCATAGCCAGGGTAGGGAAGAGAGCAAAGCAGTAGACCCAAGTGGTCCAGTCCTTAACACCATCAATAACATCCTCTTTGAGAAGCTCTCTGTTGTTTCTAGCCCGACCGACTTGCTCATCATGAATCTTCTGCAGATTGATCTTGTCCTCCTCAGTGAGAAACTTAGCAGTCTCAGGGCTGTTAGGCAAAACGAAGGGAATAACAGCACCGGTAAGGATGGTAGGTGCACCATTGATGAGAATAATCCATCGCCACGCACTCCAGCCCATAGCACCATCCATAAAGCTAATACCGTACGCAACAAGACCACCGGCGACACCAGAGATCGCAGCTGTGGAGAAGAAGTACGCGATACGAAGAGCAAGACTCTTGCGCCCGTAGTACATGGAGAGGTAGAGCACGACACCGGGAAAGAAACCGGCCTCGCAAAGACCGAGGAGGAGACGGCATGCGATGAGGGCGCCGAGGTTATTTACCCAGGCGCTGCAGGTGGCGACGATGCCCCATGCGATGGTGAGGCCGGCGAGGTAGTAGGCGGGCTTGAGCTTCTTGATGATGAGGTTGGAGGGGGATTCGAAGAGCTGGAAAGCATGTTAGCTTTGTTGGGCTGATGGGTGATTGGTGAAGCTTACACAGTAGGTGACGAAGAGTACGGAGACGGAAAGTTGGAACTCATTGCCTGTCAAGCCAAGATCTTCTTCCATACGGAACAGACGAGCGTTGCCGATATTGACTAGAAGCTATCAGACACCTTTCTTGTGAGTAGAGTAAAGTGACATACCTCGATCCATCATATTCATCAGATACACCCACATAACCATCGGAATGATGCGATAGTCAAGCTTTCTGAGGATAGCCCTCTCAGTCTGCTTATCAACATACTCATAGTTCTCGCCACGCGCCTCCTCAACACCCCTCGCCTCAGCCTTCATGTCAGAGCCAGAAGACGAGTTGGGACGCGTAGGCTCTTGATGAGCGGAGACATTATCATGGGTTGTCATCTTGATATCCAACAAAAGGCGGAATGAAGACGGGGGAGAATTTCAAGACGATGCTGGATGATCGACGGGAGAGAAATAATGGTGAATGAGGGACCGGTTTTATACACAAGCCAAGATATTTCTTACCCCGTGGGCAAGAATATCTGGAGCTCCCCACAAACCCTAAGGTGTCTTCTCCATATCGTAGATTCTGTTATCCAACGGCAAGGATATGCAATTGCCACGCGAAGCTTCTCTTGGCAGCTGCAACGCCTTATCCAATCACTCCCATTCGTGTGGAAGCCTCGCACAATATCCACACGAGGGTTACAGCCAAGGCTCGTCATATCTCCTTCACAATCTGGGCCCATATCTGCATCTCGACTGAGCAGATACCCCAGGTTTTGCTGTTGCCAAGACTGAGACAACGGCTCCGCGTTTTGGTAATGCGTCTTTTTTCTGGGGTTCACAGCTCAAAAATGACCAGATCAACCCATGAATGTATCCTCTAGCTGAAGGTGTAGTGGTGATTTCAAGGGGCGGCTATGGCTTGAGGCTGCAGCATTTGACATAGCCGACACGTGGCGGACGAGCGGAAGAATTACCATATCGATGGCAAGCTGGTGCAGATGGGGATTTTTTCTTGGCTGTTTCTTGGCTCTCCGAATGCAAAATTTTAGGGTGAAAAGAGAGAAGAGATGTGCAGTTTTAGGCGAGATGAGAGAAGACGATGCTGACCCCCAACCCAAGCCTTTGGCGTCGTCTCCTCTTTACTCCGCCTTCTTGTGCCCCAATTATTCATGCTTAAAATAGAGACGACCAATAACAATATAGGGCATTTGATGAATCGTCGGGTAGAACCAATCTTGACCGCACCAAGCAGCTCTCTAGTTCTCTATGGACGGTGATTGAGGTGTCATTCAGCCAAGTCTGGGGTAAAAAAAGCACAGATGGGGCACATCAGATCACAACATTCGACTTCTTTCTTCAACGTCAGAATCTCTAAAAGCAGAAAAAAACTCTTACCGACCCCACGGGGAACCCCATGTACGAGAAGATGGAGACGAGTTGGAGAATGCGGCCGTTACGACGCGCCAGCCAAGACCGCCAAGTATGCCAAGTGCACTCAAGTCGAACGAGTTTTTTCCCGCTGGTGGAGCGATCTCTTGGGTACTCGTCATGGTATTTCCCTGTTTCGTTAAGAATGAGGGCTTTGTGTCTTTCTCTGTGCTTGGCGTCCGGTAGGCCGGGAATCGTGGGGATTTGCTTGGCGTGTCAAACCATCTGCCGTGAGGGGAAGCGCTTTCATTGACAAACAGAAAACTCTAGTGACTTGCAGATCATTTGGAGAATACCACCAGCACGTAGACCAAGGGATCTTTGGCCAAGAAGATTCCTTGGAGATGCGTGTTCCGTATCAGGATATGTATGTCCGCCTTGGCGGATGCAAAACACGCGTGGCAAGGCACACCTCGGTTTTCTACCGAAGAGGCTTGACAGGCGACATGTTTTCCATGCTTTTCTGGGTAAGTTGAGATTGATCTGCGAATGTTTCATGGTGGAAATCTGACTATGGTGGCAAGAGTGTCTTGCGGCAGCCAAACCTTGCATGCAGTTTGAGGATAACAATAACATTCTGTAATATGATGACGGGTTTGGTGTTTCTTCGTGTTTGATTTAGAAGCTAAACAGGCACTTTGACAATCAGGAATCGCTTTCTGATTGTGTGGCATGGTACCGCATAGCAAAGGGGACATGCAATAGAGCAATCCTGCACCTGGCCTAAGTAGCAACACCATGGAAAAGTGTTTGCTACGATGACCTCTTGCCTACAGCGTGGATGCCTATTGCCAGGCAACCATATTGTTTTAAGAAACTAGGAGAGCAATGGATCAGAAAGGAAACAATTTTGTTGATGGTTTTGAGGCGTTTGGTGGACCAGACATGTGAGGCATCATCGTTTAGTGAAGCGTCAGAAGTGTAGGGCAGTGTTATATTCATCTGTTCAAACACGCTAGGTTTATAAATGCAGTAGCTGTGCCATCAGGTAAAGAACAATAATGTTGGTCAAATAGTGAACAATAGCTAATGCAATCAACAAAATGTCATTCAATGTGAGTATTGTCATTCTCCGCTGCCTCATGAATTGGGATCTTGCACTTGATTGCACTGGCAAATCTAGCTGTATCACGTCACCAGGGTAGCAAGCGCCTTATGCCAGTGCACAAACAATTTGCACAACGCAGTGGCAGTGGCAGTGACAGTGGCATTTTGTGGCGGGGCAGCAGTGAATGTGCCACTGGACTTTAGGCAGCCATCCCCTGCTATTTATCCCTGCTAGACTCACTTTAGCTTTCTCCTCTTCTCAACTCTAACCACTCTCAACCCTGCACTCGCATCCACAAACGTTATTCCCGAGACAAGGTTTCGATATTGTAAGTTGACTTGTACCGAATGACTCTTTCGGCAGCGCTGACTTTCGCGCGTTGAAAGAGCCTCATTTGGTGCGTTTTTCACTGATTGAGCTGCCGCTGACCGGAGAATGAAAGGTGTTCGCCTGCGCGTCGATTTGTTCGTCCTTTCTTCTCCACGAAATTTCCATCGCGACGATCGCTAAAATCGCCCCAGATGTTCAAGCAACGATCTCACGAGACCCATCACAACACTCATGTCCCCGAGATCAAGGCTCATCCGGGTGAATACACCGTCGCTGTTCTCGGCGACAGCCTCTTCGAGCGCTTCAAGACCACCGGCAAATTCGTGAGCGTCCAACCTACCGCCGACGAGATGTTCAAGCTTCGCTCGCACCAAACCCACCACAACACCCACGCTCCCCAGATCAAGAACAACCCTGGCCAGTACAACACCGCCCTCCTCGGCGCCAGCGGTGTAGAGCGCTTCAAGACCACGGGCCGAATGCTGAGCATCAACAAGGACTCGCGTATTCTGAACCTCGGTGTTGGCGGCGACAGGATCTTGAATGTGCAGTATCGCATGGATCAGGGTCCCGTGCGCCTTCTGAAGCAGCACCAGCCCAACCTCAAGACTATGTACATCCACATGGGATCCAACAACCTCAAGAAGCAGGGTCTTCGAAAGGGTGATGCTGATGCCTACGGTGCGGTGGTGAAGCAGTTGCGCAGTGAGTTTCCTGACATGACTGTTGTCATCACTGCCTTGTTCATCCAGCGCGATTTGGAGCTTGCTGTGATTGATGATGCGAACAACCAGCTCAAGGCTATCGCTGCTGAGAATGGATGCGTCTTCTTGCCTTTTGGGGATGATCAGGCGGGCATCATGAGTGAGGACAATGTTCACCTGAACCTGTATGGGTATCGCAAGTGGAATGAGATCCTCACCAACGACATGAACAGCCGTTGAGCGGCGCGCTCGTCGCAACTGGATGAAGAAGGATAGTACTTGGGTGTTCTGAGGACCGCTATGCATTTGCATTTGACGCAAGCGAGCCATCGTCTCAACAGAAGTAAGTGACCTCAGCAACTATCACGCCGCAATCAATGGGCTAACGGCTTTCTTACAGCAGGCGTAGAGAGATACCTGAAGAACATGTTGCTTCTTGAGCTTCCCGGGCATGATATTGTATACAGACGAAGGTTGGGGTCGCCTCGATGGGAATAAGGTCATGGGTATAACCTCACTCTATCGGGCGAAGTGTCGGCCAAGGATCAGGAACAGTACAATCTTGTATTTCTATCCTAGACTAGAAATCTCATGGCCCCCTTCAAATTCTTTGCCGTGTCCTCTCAGACCGTGATGTATCTGCCAAATCCCCCACCATTTCCAGTTAATGATCGACACCGCCTCTGCGAGGCTCACCTTTGTGACTTCAACTAGGTTCGAGCCTTTTACGATTCTACCCGAGAGAGGCCTATCGAGGTACATAAGAGCTACTGCCAAATACCTCTAGTTACCAACAACAGCAAGCAGACTGTTGACGCGGCTGTTATTCTCGGTATCCATATCATAAGGAGGCGGGCGCTTCCACAAGAGCTTAACACCCGGTTGGAAGATCATGCAGTGCGAACTTCCACCAAAGTGAAACATGCCGATCTGCTGCCCCTTCGTAATATGAGAACCCTTCTCAACAATAAACTCACAGCCCGACACCTCAGCCATACCGATGAAAACAATAGCCATCAGCCCAATTTTCGGATTATCAGCCTGAATCCAGATAATACCCCGCGCAGCCACAGCACTGATATAAGGCTGCGAGTAGTTCGGCGCCGCGGGATCAGGATCATCTGGATTACCCGCCAGACCCTCAAAGTAGTTCTCACTGTAGTAAGACCCGGGAACGAGCTCAATGTCGATAACCTTACCACTAACGGGAGCGTGCCAGCGATGATAGCTCTTTGCGCTGAGGAACGCTTGGTAAACTGTGCCGCCGACGAGCTTGCTTGTGTTGGGGTTGGAGTTGAGCATTCTGTCGAGGGAGTATGGCTGCGACTTGAGCCAGAATTGGTCATGGAGCTTGACGTTCTCGGCGACTTGGAGGGGGGCGGACTCGCATGCGTTGGTGATGACGCGGGTTGGATCAGGATGCTCTGGGTTTGTAAGGTCGTCGTCTGGACAAGCGATGGGGCGCATGCCATCTCGGAACTCTCTGATGAAGAACTCGTCCCAGGACTTGTAGCCGTAGTATTTATCAGCCGGATTGCAGATGAAGATCTTGTCGAATGTTGGGCCGCCGAGATCACCAGTGTTGGCTACAGTGGCTAGCATGTGAAGTGCGTCCTTGGACAGCCAACCCTCTAGACCAGACTGAGAGCCAGAAGATGCCAAGAACGAGCCCCAGGAGTTGAGAACACCTTTGAACGAGTTGTTAACTTTAGGAAGAAGCCAGAACTCATACCCAGCGACAGTTCCCATGGGCCAATCAAGAACAGCATTGATAGGAAAGCCAATCATGCCCATCGCAGTGGGGGGATCCTGCTTGTCAAAGAAGGGCGGGGCAGATTGAATGATGAGACTGAGGACGTCGATGAACTCTTCAAAAGTCTTGAGCGCTGGCTCGCCAGTGGGGTCATAGTGCTTGGACGACTGGGTAAACATGTCGTTGGCCAGAGTTTTGAGGTCTGGGTTGTCATTGACGAGTTTCTGAAAAGCCACGATCTTGGGGTTGGGATCAAGAGAAGCAAAGTTCTTTCTTTTGGTTTGTTTGAGCTTGGAGGCGATCCAGTCTTGGATTGCTGGGCGCTGCTCGGGGAGCCAAGAGCCGATTGGGCGATGGGCTGTGACGGGTAGTGAAGCCATGTTGAACTTGCAGTTGAGACTTGTGGCTAAGAGCTTAACTCAGCGGACAGAACTTAGAACTTGGAAGTTATTGCGAAGACTGTGAAATTGTTTTGAAGAAAAGATTAATGATAAGCAGGCTCGATGGCTTTGACTTTATACATAATGGACCTCAAAATGAGATGCAAGTCGAGCTGAAAGAAGATGCGGAGTCTCTTACGGATCAACACCAGCCGATGTGACACAGAGCCTGCACCACCAATGACATCCGAGTACGACCGAGACATACATTGCTCAGCCAGCCACAATTCCAAGAGACCTGCCCGAAAGGCTCAGCGGCACAGAAACTGCCGTCATATATGCACTCACCCGCAGATATTGCATCACACATCCGACTTTCCAGCGCTTACATGTGAATATTGCATTCTGTCTCAAACAAGAGGAGGGGACCTTGGCTGATATCACATACCGCGGGGTAACTACCGTTTTCGTTTGTGTTGTACGGTGGAACGGGTGGTATGTGATACTGTCGCGAGAATGGAGGACGAGGAGGGGAAGCTACATGAGACTGAGAAGAGAATGAGGTATTGTGATGAGAGCAAGATGGATTCAGGGTACAGAACATTGCAATGCGGCTTGACACAGATAGACAAGACCTTTTGACTTGTACAAGGCCAGGGTTGTAGTCTGTCTAACAACGTATTGATACAGACCAGGGCTTATTACTCTGAGTCACACTAGGCACGGGACGCACATCGTCACATTCCAGAGCTTCTCAAAGGTCTGGCCTTGTATCTCGGTAGAGATTGTCCAAATATTCATGCCAAGCTGGAAATTAATTATTTATCCAAATACTGTTAAAAACAGTGAATATTTACTTTGTAATAAAGATGAGGTTGTAAAGTACTGCATAAAATATGTAATTCAGGAGCGATAGTAAATAGTTATATTAAATAATATAAGTTCTTTAATAAGTTTAATAAATTAAATATATAATATTTAATTATAAAGAAAAGCAGCTTATATTAATATATATTTACTAATACTACTTTTCTATATAAGTTTATCTAACATTTCTCTTTCTCTAATTAGCTACATTGCTTCTAAATAATGGCGTCGACTCAGACTGCCTCTAATCTTATCGCACCAGTTAGGCTGAAAAATAAGCTATAAACACCACTTCGCGCCATCGTGAACTATCGAATTTCCAAGCCAATAGCGCAGTCTCGGAGATTGCGAAAAGTCTTCATAAAGGAGAATTTAATCCAACTGAGCCCCTAAAATGTTCATCCGAATTGCCATCCGCTCGTTCCTCAATTCTGCGCTTCGACGCTATTCCACTCATTAATTCCTTCTTTGTAAATATGATGTTGTTCAAGTACTCAGCTGTCGTTGCAGCTTTTGCCCTTTACGGACAGGTTGGTGCTGGGCCTTGCAAGCCCATCTCCCGTGCTACGAGTTCAGGTTTGGAAACCTCCGGTACTGCTACGACTGAAGCTTCTTTGACTGCCACGAGCTCGCTCGCGGTTGAGACATCGGCGACGGTCGAAACGTCTTCGGCCGCCACGTCAGTTGAGACTACCTTTTCTTCCGAGGTTTTGAGCACTACTGGTGATTCTTCCACTTTGTTCACTTCCACTACCGAAACCGCGAGCCCTGACGCAACAACGACCGAGTTTGTTTCTACGACCACCGATGTCTCTAAGACAGCTACCGCGACGACTTCTGCTGCGCCTGTGTGCGAGTTCACAGGAGAGTACACCAACTACGTCAAGAACCCTACTTTCGATAATCTAGACGGCAACGGACAACCCACCGCCGACCCGTGGATCATACTCGGTGTCTCAACTCTGTCAACCGAATTCCCCAGAACAGGAGCCCGCTCTATGTCAGCTTAACCTTAGCCCCCCCTTTATAAATGACATTGCTAACAGATGTCAGGGAATATTTATACCCCGACACTTCGATCTCAGGAAGTTCGGCCATTCTTCAGGAACTCACCAACACCGTCGCTGGCCACGAGTACGTCTTTAAGTTCCACTGGGCGCTTACTGAAGGCCAGCCTCTCGAGGCAGAGGCATGCAGAATCGGTACAATGGCTGGTTCGGATGGTGCAAACAGGCTGTTTATTGCTGTTGATGGTGATCAGGCAATTACGCAGGATGTATATCACGAGCAGGAGTATCGGTTTGCTGCTGAGAATGATAACCAGAGGTTGTCGATTGGGTTCTTTTGTACGAGTCAGCCGTCGGCGGGAGCGGTCAAGATTCAGATTGATGATATTTCAGTTTACGACTACCATGAGGGTTGTGAGAGTCCCTAGATGGAATGGGATTGAGACAAATGTTTTAGTTCTGAAGGTCGCTTACGGGAGCAAGAGGCTTCTGACCTTATAGCAAGGTGACAGAGATAACTAGACTAAGATTTTTCAGGTGTATACTTAATTTACCTTCTTGTAACTTGAAAGAAACATCTCAAGGTTTATCACTTGGTAACAAAATTGCATCTAGTAAGAGGGGGGGGGTTGGTAGCTGTGATTGTAATGATAATTCACAGCCTCGTTTCCTTCTTGAGATCCAAAACATCTCTCAAGTCCTTAATCTCAGTATCAGGTCGATGCGAAGCCGGTTTCGCAACCCGTCCTCCATAAGCCCACTCCTTCCTCAATTCAGTATCACGGCCTTCCAGCGCATCAGCGATGTACTTCCCAATAATCGGAAACATCTTGAACGCGTGCCCAGAATCGCCTGTTGCGAGAAGAAGATCTTTATGTTTGGAATGGCGATCAATGAGCCAATGTGCATCGGGTGAATCGGTACACCAGCATACTCGTGCATCTAGGAGGGGCCTATCGGAGAATTGGGGCATGACGGTGTTGATGAACTTTCTGATGGCGACTTCAGCTTCATGGGGGATGCCATCTTGAGGATGATCGCTTGAGTACCGGGGAATCGAGTAGTGAGTCGTGTTACCTTTCTCATCGACGAAGGTGCCTTTTTGGTATTGATATCCAGGATTGTTGTCACAGATCTTGATTAGCTCTGATTAGAATTAGCAGTCATGCTTCGGACAGTTGCAATATGAAGTGCAACCCACTGGTATCTGGATCTGGTTCAAACATGAACCCAAGCTCATAGTTATCAATCACAGGAACTCCCTTCCACTCAGCAGCTTCTTGATCAGTGAGCTGAATATGTCCCAGTGTCCAGCACTTCGACCATAGCTGTTGCGACAACTCGGGCAGTAGTTGTGGCGATGCAGCGCCCGTACTGAGGATGTAGTGATCCGCACGAAGGACCTCACCAGAAGCGACACGGATTCCAGTCATTGAACCGGAGGTATCGAGCTCGAGGCCGGCCATAGTACCGCCCAGACCTGAGACGAATTTTACGGCCATCTTCTCGCACTGGAATGCCCATTTCTCCAGGGCTTTTCGAGCGTGGACCCATCCGCCGAGGCTATTGTAAAGGCCCTTCCAGTTCTCAATCCCGGCTGCATCCTTCAGTTGGGGAACGCGTTTAACAATCTCGTCCCTGCCACTAATAAGCTCTAAGTTGCTAACCTTCCCTGCCATTTTGAGATTCTCATATGACTTTTCAAGAAAAGATTCGGCTTTCTTGTCGCCTGTCGTAGTGGTGATACGTCCCTGCTTTTGTGAGTCTAAGTCGCAAGGAAGGCTATCAAGATCGGTAACTTACCGTCTCAAAAAACACATCGTGCCATTCTGGATCTCTCCAAGCGTCGAGTGCTTCTAAAGCGAGTCGTGTGTAAAGTGGTTCGTCGTACTCAGTACGCATCACCTTGTTCAAGTCATGACCAGCAGAGTCTAGACTGGGCCATGGGTGGCGGTCGATGCAAGTGATGTTGGTATAGCCACGCTTAGCTAAATGGTAGGCTGTACTGATACCGAATGTGCCCCTAGAATCAGAACTGGCGATTAGCCTTGATGGTGTATTGGTGGGGTCTGAGACTTACGCTCCGATGATGAGGATGGACGAGTCCTTGTTCAAGGGTGCTACTGTGCTAGCCATGATTGAAAGAACTAACTTCGGACTAAGATGAAAGATAAGGGTGAAGAACAGAAAAGTGCTATCAGACGTTCAAGCTGGTCGTTTTATTAGTGATATGACGCCCGTAACCGGAGCTGATATGATATCTCGTGACAAATCAAGGCTGGACCTTCCTCACGTCAATTACCCCGCAATAAACCTCATTTATCATTCCCAAGTGGCAACCGTTAATCAAGAGCTAACCGATAGTCAAGATAAGGTAGGGTAGCAATATAATTCTCCTCGACCCCGAAGCTAAGGACCTGATGATCCGGTGACCAATCACACGCTAGCTTGAATGACTCCATCGCTTGGACCTTCTTCTTACATGAGGGGCTTGATAAACTAACGTTTGCCGAAATCCGGGGAGGGGAGTTGCATCGAATGTGACATTACTCGCGATAAGACAGAGTTATAAAATGCCGAGACCTTCGCGCCAAGAAATGCTGCTTCGACAGTCATCCCTCTATTCATTTCTTAGCTTTTCTATACGGTTCATCTCGTGACAAAGTAGGCCATCATGGCACCCAAAGTCGAATACGCCGACAACCTGGGGCCCTCAAGACAAGAAGATGGGACCATTGAAGGCACGTCTGAAGAAATCATCGATAACCCTGACAAAGCTACTGCTTTTGCTATCAGCGGTATAGATGAGCACTACGACATTGACTCGGACAACTCACCTCAACCTGAAGTCAGAGCCAATGTCCCCAATGTCGACGATCCCTCTATGCCCGTCAATACGCTCCGTGCGTGGACGCTGGGTCTTCTGTTCACAATCCTTGGTACTGGGATCAATCAGTTCTTTTCGATGAGATATCCCAGTGTGACCATCTCATCACTCGTCGCACAATTAGTCGCCTATCCAGCTGGGAGAGCCCTTGCGCATGCCCTTCCCATCATGAGAATCACACTATTCGGGAGGGAAATTGCGCTTAACCCAGATCATCACTTCAACATAAAAGAACATGCCCTCATCACAATCATGTCGAACCTTTCGTTCGGACCGTCTTGGGCGACGGATATCATCCAAGCTCAAGTTGCGCCTGCGTTCTTGGGGTTGAAGACTCCAGTCGGGTATCAGTTTTTACTCGCGCTTACGATGCAGCTGTTTGGTCTTGGAATGGCGGGTATGGCGTATAGATTTATCGTTGAGCCGCCGCATATGGTTTGGCCTTCGACACTGGCTAATGCCGCGCTGTTTCAGACTCTACATGGGAGGGCGAATCCGAAGGCGGATGGGTGGAGTATCTCGAGGTATCGGTTCTTTGTCTACGTTTTTGCTGGTGGTTGGTTATGGGTGAGTGCTTCCCCTTGTTTCTCCTCTATGATGTTGGGGTTGATTGTTCATTAGTACTGGCTTCCTGGATTTCTCTTCACGGGACTGAGCACTTTTGCGTTCATATGCTGGGCTGCGCCAAGTAAGTTCATCGCACAGATGATCCATACCACTACATTCTAACCTCTGATAGACAGCATCGTCGTCAACAACCTGTTTGGCATGTCAACCGGTCTCGCATATCTCCCCACAACTTTCGACTGGTCTCAAATCGCATACAACGGCTCTCCCCTCGTCGTTCCCTTCTGGGCTCAAGCCAACGTCTTCGCCGGATGGGTCATCCTCTTCGCTCTCGTCACACCAATCTTGTACTACACAAACACTTGGTACGCAGCGCACCTCCCCTTCTCTGGAGGTGACATCTACGATAACACTGGCAATGTCTTCAATGCGTCGCGCGTCGTTGACCGACATGGAAACTTCTCACCAGAAGAGTACAAGGACTATAGTCCTATTTTCATGCCAGTCACTTTCGCTCTGAGCTACGGTGTTTCTTTTGCGACAATGACTTGCGTGCCGACATACATCTTTCTCAATTACTGGAAGCAGATCGTTGGCGCTTTCAACCCTCAGCGGAAGAAAGATATTCATGCGCGGCTCATTGAGCGATATTCTGATGCTCCTTGGTGGTGGTACGCCGCATTGACCGCTATTGTTCTTGGCCTCACCATCATGGTGCAAGAAGTATATGATACAAAAATGCCCGTTTGGGGTGTCTTCTTGGCCTTTGGTCTCGCTGCCTTCTACCTCATCCCCACCGGAAGTGTCTACGCCGTCGCCAATCTCAACAGCAACGTCCTCACTGTTCTCGGTGAGATCATCTCAGGCTACGCCATCCCAGGAAAGCCAGTCGTCATGCTCATCTTCAAGTTCTACGCCTACACGGGACTAAGCCAAGCGATGATCTTTGCCTCAGACATGAAACTCGGGTTGTACATGAAGATACCTCGTCGTACCCTATTCGTCGCACAGTTGACGGCGTGCATCGTTGGATCTCTCACCCAGAATGCTGTTGTTCTGTGGATGTTGCACCATGTCAAGGACATCTGTGAGAGCGACCAACCCAACAAGTACACCTGTCCTCAAGGTCGCGTCAATTTCTCGTCAAGTATCGTTTGGGGAGCAGTCGGTCCAGCGCGTTTGTACAGCGTGGGTAAGATCTACTCTGGATTGTTGCACCTGTTTTGGCTAGGAGCGCTACTACCAGTGGTGACGTTCTTCCTCAAAAAGAAGTATCCAAACAGCAAGTTGCTACGTAACCTTCACTGGCCTCTCTTCTTTGCCGGTACTGGCAACGTGCCTCCAGCTACTGGTATCAACTACAGTTCCGCGTTTGCAGTCTCATTCATTTTCAACAAGTGGATCCGTGGAAAGTATCCGCATTGGTGGGCAAAGGTGAGTCTGCCATGAAATCTTCTGTCAAGGCTCAGTGTAGCTAACATGAACAGTATAATTACGTTCTGTCTGCAGCGCTTGATTCTGGTCTTGCCATATCTGCCATCGTGATTTTCTTTGCACTCGTCTTCCCTGGTGTTAGTCTCAGCTGGTGGGGAAACAACGTCCAGGGCACGACTGCAGATGGGATGGGTACTCCGTGGAGGAAGTTGGGCACCAATGAGACATTCGGGCCATCTACTTGGAATTAAGGCGCTGTTTGAAGATGGAATATGTGCTTAGGTGTTTGTATTATTACTTCATAGTTAGCCAAAGGATCATTGATAACAACGCTTTGGATCTCTAGAAGGTGGCAAGAAGACTGGGCCAAGTTTATCACGGGCTCAGTAGACTCTAGACTAATCCTTTCTGATGCATAAGCATGGGGTCAGATGTTTTCGTGCTTCTTGGTTCCTGGGCGCGGCCAATCACATAATTCTCGGTCAAATACGACCAGTGGACCAACGCTAGTGTCAACTGAGTTGCTTACTCCGCGTGTTGGTAAAGTCGTTAACGCCCGAGCTATCCGAGGCAGCCATGTATATAAGCCATTAAAAGGTTAGATCGATAGATGGGTAAAGCCACCCAATCCGCTCTGTTCTTCACAGTATTCTCTTTACTGTAGAACCAATCTTACCAAACATGGTATCTTTAAACGTTCTCCGAGCCTTGTATGTTTTTGACGACCGAAACTCGCACGAGAGAATTGATAACAGTTGTATTAGGACTTGGTTCAACTCGGCACAGAGCATCTTATCCCCCTCACCTGCCATCCTGCCAACCACGCCAAAGCTGACCGGCGATCCATGCATCCAAGTTGATGGAGTATGGAAAATCACCGAAGACTGCGTTGATCCTCTCTACTCCCGGTATATACTCGACGATGAGACTCATGAGACATTACCGATCCCTCATCTTCGAGTCTCAGGACGTTTTGAAGGGACCGCCGTCGACTTCAACATCTACCTCCCCAAAAGGGGATGGAAGGGGCGTTTCTTCCAACTCGTCTTTCCACTACAGAACTCAACTGCGTCTGATCGAGAAATTGGCTTTGGAGCAGACAGTGGAGGATATACCGTTCGTGCGTCTGGTAGGCCAACTTATCGCGGTGACGCAGCTGCAGCTAAGGTTGGTATGATAATTGCACGGGAGTACTACAAGCCCAAGACCAATAAGATCCATGGGTATATCTACGGGGGCAGCGGTGGTTCTCTTGTCACTGTTGGGGCGATGGAGAATACTGTAGGTATATGGTCTGGTGCCGTGACGCTTGTCCAGGCGGTACCTGTTTCCATCAATAACTGGTCCATCCGTGCTCTCGCAGGTCTTGTCCTTCAGAACAAGAGCGCCGAGATCGAAGATGCGCTTAAGACTGGCGGTAGTGGAGACATCTACTCAAGCTTGAACCCCACCGAGTCAAGCGTCTTTGAAGAAGCCACGGCCCTTGGTGTTCCCATCAAAGGATGGGAAAGCTTCTATGAAACTGGGGCTTCTGAGTCACTTTGGGAAACAATCCGGAGTGTGTCTGGACCGGCCGTTATGAGGATGGATCCCAGCTACGTTGATGACTTCTGGAACAAGCCTGGATATCTGGGCAAAGAGGATTCAAGACTTGGTGAGATATTCCGCCAGGAGATGCTGGACTACAAGACCTCCATCATCTCTATACGGTGTGACGCCAGTCAGGTCCCTGTTGAGCTCACCCTCGACACGGCTCCGAAATCAGCGAGAACTTACTGGCTCGACATCAATATCATCTCTGCAGATGGCGAAGTTGTTGGTAAGATTACTGCCAAGGGTCGCGATAACAGTAACGACAAGACTATCACCCTTCACCCGAATAATGACCCGGCCCTCCTCTCAATTTTACAACAGGGGACTAAAGTCCAAATAAGCAACCGTATGTTTCTAGCCATGCACGCACTCCATCGCTACTCAGTTCCCAAACGCGCAGGATTTTACGGCTATGACTATCTCCGTGACTACGACGGAGCACCCATCTATCCTCAGCGGTCTGTGCGTGTGGCAGAGCAGATTGCAAGATTTGCAAGTGGTGGCGCCACCTTTTCGGGCAAGTTGAACGGCAAGATGATCGTCATGGATAACTTGATGGACATTGACGCATTCCCTTGGCATGCAGATTGGTACAAGCAACAAGTCAGAAAGCTATATGGGGATAAAGCCGATGATAAGTTTCAACTTCATTACACTGAGAATGCGGATCATCAAATGGGCCCTGTTGGAGGCTCCAAAAGCTCCAGAGCTGTAGACTTTACAGGCATTTACGAGCAGCAACTGCGAGACTTGAGTATCTGGTGCGAAACCGGGACATATCCCAGCACTCCAACCAACTATACCATACGAAATGCTCAAGTAGAACTTCCTGCTGCGGCCTCGGAAAGAAAAGGCCTCCAACCTGTCATAGAACTCAGCGTCAACGGCAAAAAAGACGCCAAAGCTGAAGCAGGCAGCATAGTGACTTTCAAGGTACGCATTGAAGTTCCTCACGGTGCTGGAAAAGTCGTTTCATTGGAGTGGGATTTTGAAGGGACAGGTAACTTTGTCAAGGAGAGGTTCGGAGACGTTGTACGATCTGTTGAGACTACGGTTTCCTATACTTACAGTCAGCATGGGACTTTCTTTCCCGCTGTTAGGGTTGCTTCCCATAAAGAGGGGAAAATAGATTCACCGTATGGTTTGGCTTTGAATCTTGGCCGGGTAAAGGTTGTGGTCATTTAGTTGTTTGTATTGCTATTATGGACCTATGAAGCCGGGAGGAGAGAGTTGTCATTGGCTTCAAATCATATTTCTGATGATGCTTGCAACTCATTTATCGAGCACCATCTTCGACGAGATTGGTGATGACTCATGTCTGTATTGCACAAACTACCGTTGTTTCTGAGAAAAGGTTTGCAAGCATTTCTTGATCACAGGGCCTTCCACAGCCTAATTCAATACTTCGCCAATCCTTTTCTAGTAATATCTATAAGTATCTAGTTACATTAAATTGAACGGGATCGATAAAATGGAGACAGGAAGAGAAAAGTGTATTTGATGGTCGCCCTTGTACCCTTCGCTTGAACATCTCCCTTGGCAGCTGAAAATGATTGGCTCTCAGTCTTTCTGGGATTTCAAATTGCGGCGGGGGTACTGAGGTGTTACCGCGTTGTGATTGATCGCCTGATCTGCGTGTCTGTCTGCCTTGCAGTAAGCCACCCTCACTTAATACTCACCTTCACCGCTTCGTCTCGCGGCGTTCTTTCTTCCTTTTGCAAACTTGTCAACTTCGACATGGCAGACCCTCTTTCCGTCGCCAGTGGCGTCGCTGGCCTTGTATCTCTCGGCCTGACTCTCTGCGGCGGCCTTCACAATTACTTTACCGCCGTGAAAGATCGACACCGAGACATCGAGACAGCCAGCCAAAGCCTCACTCTTTTGCAGTCAAATATCTTCATCATCCAGACGAGCACACTGAAGCTTGGCCAGCGTCACGCCTTGTCCGCCAATGGAGTTAACCAAGGTCTGGTTAATTGCGAGTCGCAGCTCATGACCCTGCAGCAGATGGTGCTGGACCTTACTCGAGACGAGGGCCTGATTGATATAAAGGGAAAATGGAGAAAGCAAGTGATGGTAGCTCGATATCCTTTTGATCAGAAGAAGTTGTTGCAACTTCAAGACCAGCTTTCCAGGGCCAATGCGACATTAAGTAATTTTGTACAGAACTTCCACCTGTGAGGGATCTCTACTACACTTTAATTCTGCTCCTGCTAAGCAAACACAGCGATATCAACATCAGCATTAGCGAAGATTTACAGGCTCTGAGAATCTACACCAATGATAACGATAGCATAACGCATGATATGTTGGGCACCATTGCCAGACGACTTGACACTATCGGCCCAGCTCTTCAACGCACTGAAATAGAAGTGGCAGCGATATCCCGACAGATCCAAGATAACATCCCAGGTACCAGCAGCCGTAATCCAGACTATGCTATAAAACCTTGCTATTTGCAGAACTCCCAGAAGGAAGGAACACTGAACGATTCGGGATGTATTTGTTCCGATCCTAGGGCTAGTTCTGTTTGTCGAAAATCTTCTTATGTGGATAGATCTTGGGGAGGTTTTGTCATGTCGAAACAAGAGTACTCACGACGGCGCCATCGCCCTGGTTGCATTTTCTTCAACCAGTCACTGCAGACGTCAAAGACTACCTTTACATACCTCGGTTTGCGATATTGGCTTGCTCGAAGTTTGTCCTTGTCACTCACTAGAAATAATCCTGCTGGGGCATATAATATGTCCTTTGAGATACAGTCTCTCAACATTGTTAAATCCAATGCGGCTTTTCAAGCCATTTATGACCTTAGAATGAACTGCGACTACAGGGGGAAGCGATACAGTGGTTTCGACCTACAAGAAGATGCCCGGATCACGATCAAGAAGCTAAGAACTATCTATAGCTCTCGTGCTGCGTCCCCGTTTGACGTAGATAGATCTGGGAATAATATCGCTCATGTGTGTATGCGTGTAAGTTTCAATTCTACTTGTAAATACTTGAGGCGCTTTTACACTGACAAAGTCTTTAGTTCTATTACAAGTTACTTAAGTGGTATTCAGGGCACCAAGAAACTTGGAAGGCCATATTTGAATCCATTCGCTCGCTTCTGTCATACATGTTTGACATCGGGGTTCCTATCACCGCCTCGAACTTTGATCAGGAGTAAGACTGACAGTCTATTTCTCCACAACATAGCTAAAAGCAACCAGAACAATTATATATTACCTTTGTGCACCTTACTATCTATCAATCCTTCCTCCCATATATAATTTCATCGAAACCCTTGATTCATCTTTCTCTCCCGAAGATGTCTCCATTAGGGAAGCAGGCGATCGGATAAGTTGGTATCCATGGGAGCTCAAGTCGCTGCAGATCTGGGGTGAATACCCTGAGATCGCTAAAGGTAACCCGTTCCTTACCACTTCTCCTCGACTCCGGCACAGCTGATAATAGAAATGCAGCCTTTGGATTCAACTACGTCTTCCGGGCCATCATGCAGCGAGACTGGCAAAAGCTTGCTACTGTTGTAATGAATCAGCAGCTTTGTGCAGACATGCTGGAAAGAGATGTGTATGGTCGTAACATATTGCACGCTAGCATCACCTGGCCAGAAGGGCTTCGTCTCCTGCTGCAACAAAGTCTGGCTGTATCTATGTTGTGCGACGACGATTCGATACAGGCTAGTCCTTTACAGCTTGCAGCACATTTGAGCGGGGCAACACGTATGCAAAAGAACAAAATGGTGCTTTGCCGGGACTGCAATTGCGCTGCTGCCGTCCAACTGCTCCTGGAGGCCGACTGTTGCCTCCCCGTTCATTTGATGTTATCAGAATACACAAAGTTTTGTTCATGGAGATGCAACAGACTATTGTTCGGGCACTTGGAGAATCGCCGGCGACGACTGCGAGATCTTTCACTTGCATTTTTGCCTTCTGAAATCATTGGTAGGTATGGAGTCACGGCTAGCTCTATCCCTGACGCTACCGCGGCCTTCCTGTGGGAGGAGCTGCAGTCGCGCTCTGATGACTTGGGAAAACTGGGGATTAAGATCAACTCTGGCCTCAAGCCTTTTCATCCCAAATATTACCGCGGGGGCTTGTTTGAAAACTACCAGCCTCCAGAAATCTGTTCATTGGCCGACGAGTTCGGCATTAGGCCGTCAGACGAAAGTGGTATTAAGCCTCTTCTAGCACGGATTACGGTTCTTGAATCTGGTATTAGGCAAGATGTGTTTGGCCGAGACATTCCTTACCTGAATTGGTTGATGAAGCATGATATCGACCTTCAATACGCGGCTGGAGACTTCCACACGTCGATATTGCATTATTATGGAGCAGTAATTGGGTGGAAGCTAGCTCTTGGCCATCGCGTCTCGTCATGCGTTTTGGAGAGCGAAGGAATCAGTCTGTTGACTAAAGTATGCAACAGCAAGCTGCAGGCCAATGTACCATGTCTCTGCATTTCAGGTGTCTTCAACCGACCATTGGCGTCGTTATTCTCTGGATTTACGTCTACTGAATATCGCTTTCGCCCTTGGGGTGTTAAAACGATTAGAACCATTTGCCTCCTTGTGGCTCTGATTGAAGACAACATCACAGTTGTTAACACATCCTATCTAGCCAGGTGCGCTACCCACACAGTTACAATGGAAATACTTGGAATCAGGCACGTTGGGACCTGTCCCCACAATCTTATGCACAGAAACGGCTGGGGAGATGAAGAGGTAGACGAGGATGAATGGGCAGAAGTGTTGGACGAAGATAGGCTTTTGGTGGAAAAGCTTGATGATCTCGATGAAGAATTCGAAAAACAGTTTGAACTCAGAAATGAGTCAGTGTTGGATTTTATAACAGGGTATTATAGTCAGAGAATGCGGGAAGTGGTAAAAGAAGTGGATATGTCTCTGACAGGCGATTACAGGCGCGGATTAATTGCCGCTGGAGTGGTATTAGAAGAATAGATGGAGTGTAGGTCTGATTCCAGTTCGACTGACTGACAGGAAGCGGATACAGTATGAGAACAACGGCGAAATTGACAAGGTTTCCATTGAAGTAGAGGAGTGATAGGAGGGACGACGACATGTTGTGTAGACATAAAGACCTAGAAACCTACAATGATGTCCTAGTCTTTGCGATTGATATTCGGGCAAGCCGATGAATATAGGCTTGCTTAAGCACATAAGACGAGGAAGCAGGCAAGACTTGCAATAAGGCAACCAACAACATAGAGGGCTGCCCGGAGCGACGAGGTTACATCATATTGCCTTTAATTATTATTAACGTATTATGGAGGTAACCTGAAGATATAACCTGACATTAAATAACATTCGATTGTAGTATGTAAGACTATTCGCTGTTTGGAAAAACGTTAAGAATTCAACCGACAATCCAAACCATAAATAATGCCCCCAAGCAACAAGGAGGGACAGGCGGTATGCAAATTGGGTCTCATGGGGTTCATCAATGCGGTGCAAATCCAAGCTTAGGGGTAGCATCCTCCTGGCTATGAACAACATAGTAGTTCTTCATGAACAAATTTCCTAGCACAGAGTACTTGCTATTAAGCTGAGTAGAGATCGCTCCACCACAGATACGATTAGCGCGGTCATATACAGTATAGTTAACGTCCCGCCCAGGGATAGTTAGCGTTGTGCTATCAATCTTAAAATGAAAGTCTGGAACAGTGCTATTGCACGGGAATGTGCGAGAGCCTCCCTCCTGGAGCTTATAGCCCTTGATATGGCTGTAGTAGTCGTTCACCACAGTTTCAGGGAGATAAACAAGGGTCGTCCCGGAGTCGACGATGACCTCGCCAACCTTCTTTTTGCTACTGGTGAATGAGCCTTTGCCAACGGCATAGGTGCTCACGTTCATCGACCAGTACTTGGTGCTGACAACGGGGGTATAGGCCACTTTACCCTTGAACTTGGTATCGTCGATGTATCCGAAATCCCAAGTCGCAGGCTTGCCATCGACCCTGAGATTAGCAGCAAAGACCTTCTTCTTGAGAGTGGGCAGGAGAGTCTCGAAGAAAGTCTTTTGCTTCTTGGGCTTGACGGTGTTGATGGTACTGAATGCCAGACCAAGAATGCCATCTGAGGCGAACTCGGCTTGGATGACGGTGGCGGCTTGCACGGCCTGCTTTTGGGCTACGACGGGGCCTGCCTTGACCGTGTCGGTGTAGACGACGCCGCTGACTTCCTCGCCAAAGGCGTAGGTGATGGACCAATTGTAGTTCTTGAGGAGGTGCGCAGATGAAGTTGGGGCATAGGTTGGGTGATCCTCGCTCTGGAAGATAGAAGACTCGTTGGAATACACCCATCTGTGAAGTGGCATGTTAGTCTTGGTACGCGATACGGAAAATTGGGGCACTCACAGGTCGGCAGATCCAGTGTCGTAAATCATCTTGAAAGTCTGGTTCCCGACGACTGTAGGGACGAAGAATGAATTGCCATTCGAGGAAGGTTTCACTTCCACGGAGCCCGACTGCTTCACGCTGCGCGCTTCTATGATGTTACCATGGATCGCAGAGTATTTCGCCTCAAGCCGCTGCCTCTCAGCAGCAGGATCGAATTCCTCTGGTGACGACGGCAAAGCATCGACGCTGAACGCAGCGCCTTGGCTATCCGGCACAGCGAGGCCATGGGCAGAAGCAGCCAAGACGGCGATCACTTGGAGGAGTTTGAGAGGCATGATGAGAACAATTGTGTAGATTGACCAGGTACGCCAGAAAGTATGGTAAAAATAGGTTTCTTACTCTTTTTATGGCCAAGAGCACGACCTCGTTCCGCCTCGTTCCAGTGTTACATAGTCTATAGATAGTCTGGGCTTTGATTTTCCGCGCGGGAATGGATGGAATGCCGGGCTTCGCATACGAATTAATTTCCCGAAACCGGCTAGCAAACACCTCCGCCACCAATGGCATCACAGCGAGCTCGGCAGATCAGGAATAAGATCCACTAAGAATCTCGTATCGACGAACGGTCTAGGCCGCATGACTTCACATGGGCCGGGGTTTGGTTAGTTTGCATGGTTATATATAGTCTGATAACTATCAGGCAAGTTTGATCACGCATCCACGACAGCCCAAGTAACTTAAAACCATGGCTCTCTTCACTTTGGCCACCGTCGCTGCAGCTGTCGCTTTCCCTGGCATCGCTACTGCGAGCAAGACTCCTGCTGGGGTTATCTCCGTCCCGTTATCTCGCGATGAGGGTCTGACGGCGTATTATGCCAAGCTACAGGTCGGCACACCGCCACAGACAGAGTACCTCAAGATCGACACGGGTAGCCCGCGATATTCCTTTCTAGACCCTCGTAATGAGGTCTGCAAAAAGAAGGGAAACAATTGCAAGACCTTTGGCACGTTTAACAACAAGACTTCCAAGTATGTTCCTCGGTATCTTACCTCCAATTTCCGTCGCTAATCATCGTCGTAGGACATCCCACTATGCAGGTACTGGCTTCGCCGACGCCCTAGGCTACGTCGGTCAGGGCGATTATCTGGAGGACACTATTATCATCGGCGGCGTTTCAACCAAGAACCTGTACTTTGGCATGACATCCGACTATAGTTTCTCCGACAAGCTGAGCGGTAATATTAGCACAATTCTTGGTAAGAAAAGCTATCCCATCTTGAAGATGCCGAACTGACATGCGGTGGAACAGGTCTATCGTTGGAGTGCTCATTTGCTGGCCCCAAGTGCATTGACAGGTTCTCCTCGTACTTCCTACCGGAGCTGAAGAACGCATCCAAGATCAACTACCTCGCGACGAGCATCTACCTTGGGCCCGATGATAAGAAAGCTGCCAATGCCAGGATGCTCCTTGGTGGTGCTTACGACAAGGCCAAGATTGACGGTGATCTCATCACCGTGCCCATGGTCGACCCCTTCAATATGGAGCTCAGCGATGGTCAGACGAACTCGGTTAACGTCACCTCTGTCGAAGTCTTCCTCACCAAGGGCAACAACCGCACAAAGGAAACATACGGAAAGAAGAACGTCGGTGTTCCGGTGCTGATCGACAGTGGCACTGCGAGCTGGTACCTCACGGACAAGACCATGCCTCCCGTCCTCCGCGCTTTTAATGCCAAGGTACAGCCTTTTGGCCAACAATACTTCGTGGTCGACTGCAAGTACGCCGACACCAAGCGCAACGACGGGTACATCGCTGTCGAGTTTGGCGTTCACGGCACAATCAAGGTGCCGCTCTACGGCATCGTGTCAAAGTTCCCTGATGGCACCTGTGGAGTGTTCGCCGCTTCTCGTGGGTACCCCGTGTCTCTCTTTGGTGACCCTTTCATGCGCAATGTGTACAGCATCTTTGACCAGGAGAAGTTCTTCTTCTCGATGGGTAAGGTGAAGCATACTGCTGAGGAGAATATTGTGCCTTTCCCTAAAGGAGGCTTTAAGCCAACTCATTCCTGAAGAGCATACGGAGTAAAGATTGTAGAATTGCGAATTGATAGTTATGGATACGAGCTAGTGGGGAGAAATTGGCGATGGGTTTTAGTGTACATAACTAAATGGAACCATATACCGACAAGACATATTTTCCAATTTCTTAATTACGTGAGCATCATTTTTGACCTTGATGTGATACTCGAGTTAACAATGGCAAGTCTAAAAAAGCCCGCCCTATAGATCTCAAGAGCGCTATCTTGCCATCTCGCGCGCTCGGCCCAAAACGGTGAAACGGGCGACCCCAGATTGAGCTATACCCTTCTGAGCCATCTCAGCGAACGCTATCATCCCCGCCAAACAGAACCATCCTCGGTTCTAAAACCGGTATCTGCATAAACATGATCACGCGATATAACAAGCGGCGAATCGCAATCATTTAACGTCTGGCACTCGGTAAGTTGTTATTCTGAACGTACGTTTACAAGTCAACACAATGGATAAAGATCTCAAGCCCATTGCCACCATGCCGACGAACTCAACTGTCGGGATGGGCGAGTTGGTTGAAGATACAGCTAGCGGTCACAAACCAACTGCTACTTTGGATGATGACGAGAAGCATTCTGAGGAAATGGGTTCTCCGCCACTTAGGATCGTGTACAGCTCCAAGGAAGACGCGAGGGTCCGATGGAAGCTCGACCTGATCTTGCTGCCCATGGTAAGTGGTGATCTATGAATCTTTGGTCATGCGAAACTGACTACAGCGAAAATAGATGGCGCTCACATACGTGCTCAACTACATGGATAAAGTTGCTTTGTCCGAGGCTTCCATCTTCGGCATCAAGGAAGATCTGGTTAGCGAACCTGCACCTTGTAGATATCTACATGTAGCGACTGACATCTGCATAGAACCTCATGGGCCAGCAGTATAGCTGGTCATCCTCAATCTTCTACCTGGGGTACCTAGTCTGGCAGTATCCCAGCTCTCTTTTGATGCAGAAGCTTCCCATGTAAGTCTTCATCTTTCCTGAAATTCCCTAGATTTATCTTGTCTTGCTTAATGTCTCCTAATCGCTACGCAGCGGACGATACTTTGGCGTGATGATCTTTCTCTGGGGTCTCACCGCCTGCACGACGGCATTCACAAAAGACTTTGCAACGCTCTGCGTCAACCGTGCCTTCCTCGGTGTTTTCGAATCCTGCATGTCTCCCATCCTCACGATCCTAATCTCTCAATATTGGACACGAGAGGAGCAGCCTCTTCGCACGTCACTATGGTGGTCTGCCAGTGCTGTCGGTTCTTTCATGGCAGATGCCATTACATACGGCCTCTCGGGAAAGGATCATTCGGGCTCCAAGTATGCCGTCTGGCAAGTCGTGTACCTCGTCTTTGGGCCGATGACGATGTTTTGGGGTATTGTTGTCTTTTTTGGTGTTCCGGCGTCGCCTCTAAGTGCATGGTTCTTCAGTAAGAGGGAGAGAGATATCGCGACTGATAGAGTAAATCCACTCCTGGTCGACATCAATCGGTACTAACCAGATTACAGGTCCTGAAAAATCACACCGGTATTAAAAACACCGAGTACAAATGGAACCAGGTCCGCGAATGCCTGATGGATCCCCAGCCGTGGATATTAGCCATACACGCCTTTCTTCAATGTCTCCAGGGAGGAGGCTTAACATCGGTAAGTGAATTGTGCAAGAAAATGGAGCATATTCTGATGGCAGTGTAGTTTTCGAAGATCGTGTTGACCCAGACCCTCGGCTACTCCAGCCGCCAGGCTACTTTGATGGGCATGCCGTCCAACACCATCCACCTCGCCTCGGTGGTCTTTGCGTGAGCATCTAACTTTGCATATATATGGCTACTTGCTGAAACTTTTGATTTAGTGGTTGGTTCTGCACACGTTTCAAGAATACTAGGTGCTACGTTATGATTGCAACCAATATCATCGTCCTGATAGGTGCCGTATTGGTGGATAGTGAGTCTCTGCCATCATTAACATCTGCTCTTGGGATCTAACATGACTTAGACCTTCCGCAATCTAACCACCAGGGCCGACTTGCGTCTTTTTATAGTAAGTATGCGATGGTTACTTTATGGCTCACAACTGTCGCTCATACGTGCCTCCAGTAATTTATGTCAATACAGTCCCTTTCGGACTTGGAATGAGTATGCTCTCCTCGAATATCGCAGGATTTACCAAGAAGTCCACCGCGAGCGTAAGTATTTGACTCCGGCCAATCTTGACTGAACTAACACTTGCAGGTCATGATGTTCCTAGGCTACTGTCTTGGCCAATTTACTGGCCCTCAATTCTTCATCACACACGAGGCCCCACAGTACAAAACTGCTTTCAGAGGCTTCTACTCCTCAGTCTCTGCCATGATTGTGTTGGAAATCGTTCTGCTGTAAGAAGCTCCTCATTTCACTTTCCCACCGACTACTAACCATTTTCTCAGCATCTACATTAGGTATCAGAACCACCGTCGAGGCCGCCATGAGGTTCAGGAAATCTGCAACGTAAACATTTCTAGGGATGATTTAGATCTTACGGATTGGCAACAGGGCTCATTTAGGTATATTTGGTGAGCGTTGGTGGAAAAGCCCGAACTGATGGACATTCATGTGATCACGAGTCATATGTTGAAGGCTTGGTGTCATCTTCGCTGGCTCATAGGTTCCGTCGGTGTCTTTGTGTACAATACTTCATTTAAATTAGCCAGGGATGATTACCAAGTCTTGTTGGTGTACATTCTCATAATGATACACTGGCGAATCTATTGCTACCTGGCGCCATCCTTTCCACAACGCTATCACAATCACTGAGAGATAGAGAGAAAAATCATGTATGATATGTAGACATATGAAGAAGACCAGTCCCTGTCATGCTTGTCTTGAAGTTAGCGTGCTTCGAGTTAGGCTTATCAGCGATTAGTCATTAGTTACCCCGGATTTCAAAATAAAGTCTAAGACCGAAGCGTTCTTGCACTTCAATCCTTCAACCACTCTTACGTCCTTGACATAACGACCCGCCATGTCCCTATGCACCACCTGTGCAAGAAGGGAAGTCTCTTGCGATCAAAGAAAACCACGCTGCTCCCCATGTCGACGTTCTCACCTCAAATGCGCTTACGAACCATCACCTCATGCTGTGTTCGAGTTTAGAGATGAGACAGATCAGATCAGAACTCATTCGAGGCGTCGCGGGAAGAAGAAGAGCACGCCTAGCATACCGAGTCGCTCAGGGACTAGTCCACAGACTCCAATGGCCTTTTCAATAGCCGAGACGAACGCGTCCGACACGCTGGAAACATCGTCACTCGCAATGCTCGATGCGACGGCGATGCCTTGGATGGATGGCATATTTGACTCATATCCAGATCAACAATGGGATTTGAGCCCTGACCCGGCGGTGTTTTCAAATACGACTGATCAGGCCTGGGTTCCGTTTATGGAATCGCCAGGTAAAACCACAGCCGACTTCAACGCGGGCAGCCTTTCCTCGAGTTCCCGTCAGACGGTCTCCGATCGGGTGTTAGCACAGCACTACACTCAGAATCTAGCATCAAAATATAGCTCCAAGGGCCAAACGTGGAACAATCACACGTATTTCTTCAATCGCTTCAACTCTAGCCATTCGTTTGTAATATCATCGCTTTACGCATGGACAGCTGCTCACCTCCACTGCAATGGGACATTGGCTTCGGAGAGTAGTGCCTTAGAACACTACGAAAAGAGTCTCGTAGCTCTCGTGGATCAATTAGGCGTCCACCTCGAGATTGGAGGCATGGATGAAGAACTCAGTCAGACTTGGCCGCAGCTTATCACCCGAGATGATGACCTGGACGCCGTGTCAGTGACGCTATACTTCCTCGCCTGGACAGATCTTCTTCTCTCAAGAAGAGCCTCCCTAAGGCGCATGCTAAGCCTCGAGGCTTGCTTACTTGAGAGCCGGGGCCATGGCGATCAATCGCAGTCGGTTTACGGCAGAATGGCGGTGTGGTTCTGCTTTCTTGATGCTCGCGCCGCTCTCTTTTCGCAATGCGATGATCGCATCATACAGTGTCTAGGCAACGACTTGGGCTTAATGTTTGCTGTGGACAAATCATACAATTTTCTGCAGCAAGAATACACTCTTTTGTACCCGAATGAGGAACGCCGGTGGGATGAGGCTCATAGGCCTTTGTATGTGGCTACATGTCGCTTGGTCGCTCTCTTGGGGATGATATCCAGAGGCGACCGCACCACGGCGGGTGATAGCCAAGAGGCAAGTACGAGAGAATCGTTAGATGATATTAACCAGGTATGTCGACAATAAAATCACACTACTGCTTGTAATTACATTACTGATGATAAACTAGGGTCTCGCCGGTATCACCGAAGAGAAAGCGGCAGAAAACAAAGTGTTATCCATCTTCCTCACCGCAAACGCCCTCTTCCACGCCGTACACATCTACGCCTCAAGAATCTACCGGCCAGAAGATGCAATATATGCAGAGACAACACATGCTGAACACATAATTGGCATCACTCGCCGCTTCTACAGTAAACTCAAGCGTCCAAGAACTGAAGCGCCGCCGACCAAGATATGGCCAATCCCGCTCATCATGGCAGCCATCGAGGCAAAGGACCCTATCTACCGAGACTGGGCGCTGCAGCTTATCAGGGACTGCTCTCAGGCTGGGAAACATTATGTAAATGCATGTGCCTTTGTCGAAAAGGTGCACGCGGCCGAGGAGGGGATGGGCTATCGCGCTGATCTTTCCCAGATCGCTCAAGAGATGGGCTATGACTTTGTGATCTAGCAACGCCCTAAAATCATGTCTAACGCGCTATTGGGACATTTTCGTCCTTGGTAGCGATAATGGCGGCGGCTCGTAGCCGGTCGCCGAACTGGACTATTTGGGGCAATCGGGCGACGCGCTAGCAAGCTCAGTGAGGAATTGGCGACTGCACTTCGGGACTCGGTAGAACGCCCCGCCAGACCTATCTGATATAAGTATTCGTGGTAGTACAGGTAATACCCGGATATTCTCCAGTAAATTCATCTTATCGTCTACTGCCTTCAAACATGCCTTCTGCCGAAACCTCTATCATGGAAGTGCCTCGTACTTCGTACTACCAGCACATTGTCGTTGAGGGCACGCCCTATGAGAGAGGACTTTCGCATGGAAGACAGGTGGCTGATAAGGTCCGCGCCAATATCGAGTACTACAAACTCCCAGGCAAACTTCCGCATTGGCAAGTAGATCATGGGTGCCACTATTTTCGCCATCAACTAACATCCAGCTCAGGTCAATCTCCTCCAAGATCATCGAAACCGTCTACCTCCCAGCCTTTGAGAAGTTCTACCCCACCGGTCTCGAAGAGATTAGAGGAATCGCAGATGGAGCAGGCGTAACGATCGAAGAGGTCATTATGCTCAATGCCCGATACGATCTTGGCAGGTGCATGTATCGCCTGCAAGACGGCGGCAAGACTCCCCAAGAGCTGAGCGGGCATGATGAATGCACGAGCGGATTCTTCCCTCCCGAAGCGGTAGCATCTGGTCGTGCTCTGGCCGTGCATAACTGGGACATGTCTAGCCATCTTTATAACCAGGACCTGATCATCTATCTCGAAGTACACCCAGACCCGTCTGAGGACCGCCCTTCTATGTTTGTCCTCACTGAGGCTGGCCAGTTGATCCGCAGTGGGATGAACTCGGCCGGTATGTCAGTTACTGCGAACTCCTTGCTCTCAAGCGAAGACTACGTGCCCATATCCCACGTCGACCAAGACGGGGTCTACCACGAGTTCAAGAACCCGAAGCCTGTTCTCCCGCTCTCAGTAGCAAGACGCGTTTTCCTCGAGTACAGCAACTACGCTGAGGGTTTGGTGGCTATTAACGCCTTCCCCCGCCACGTCTCAGGAAACCTACACGTCTCGACAGCCGAAGGGTTCGCAATGGCCATGGAGGTCTCCCCAAGCCGCGTGTGCAAGTTCTACGGAAACATTGATGATAACTACCTCATACACAGCAATCACTTCCTTAGTCCAGAGTTTCTGAGTCGTGATGGTGTTTTTGATCGATCCCCCGGTGGTAGCACCTGGTTCAGATGCTTACGGGCGGAGAAGGGAGTAAGAGCTGACTGCGCGGCGGGGAGGTTGACGCCGGAAAAGATCAAGACGGCTTTTTCAGACCATCTTGCGTATCCCGAAAGCTTGTGCAATCATCCAAATCTGAACCAGAGGAATACGCCTAGTGCTGTGTTGACTGGGTATACGTCTAAACAGAACATGACAGTTGCTTTCGTCATCTATGATCTGGTGGAACGGGTCGTTACAGTGTGCAAAGGGCCCCCTTGCGAAGGTGTGTTACAGAATTTCAAGTTGGAGGAGAGTCGATTGTTGAAGCATTGAATACAGCAGCCAGAATGTTTAAAATTCCACATTTCGCGCTGGGTACAGTAGTGAATATGTATCATGGTCGGTGCGGGTAAATGTGTATTGCACTAAAAAAAGTTTATTACACAATTACGTTTCAGCCTATCGCAGTCAATACGCGCGTTGTACTCATGTAAAACATTATCAGTTACGCTATGAAGCTTGACAAGATGCTTAAAAACTCGAGTATCTAGGGTATGTGAGGAGAAAATGACGCTGAAACCAGGTATTGTTTGAACAGGGATTGACTGAGGCCGAAACGTCGCTTTGCTCGAGGCTGAAACCAGGGACTCACAATGTCATAGCTATGTTTCAATAGCTACAATCGATGCTCCAGCTCGAGCACTACTTAAATCACCAGCTCCTGCTCCTAAAGGTCGGCAGCATCACCAACATCAATTCTCTTGTCCCTCCTAAACCTCTAATTCCACATTCTCGGTAGCGTCGCCACTCCGCTCACCATGAAAATCTCCTCAATAGCTCTACTTTAATTCCTCTCAACAGCCATGGCAGCTCCCCTGGTCCGTGGCCCCGGCGGCCGACTTGTACAAGAAGGTGCTGGTTACACGTTAGTACAAGGCCGAAGCGTATGTGACGATGGATTCGGAAATACCTTGTACGTTCAATGATCGTCTTGCATAAAGCCTTTGATGTACTGATTACCATGTGTAGCTTCGAAGATGATCCATTCTCGTCAAAATAAAAAGGTAAAACGCGGGGAGGAATGACATGATGAGGCTTCTCACAGTGGAGGATTGAGACCTGAATAATTCCGCTCGAGGCGTTGAACTGCAGGATGGATGGCTAGTCCACCCGAGCCGTACAAAAATACCACAAATAATAATTTAATAAATAAATAAATCACCACCAAATACTCTCCGTCTTTGCCGCGCCACTTTGAATGATCTGAGCCAGTAATACCACCCCAAGCCCGATGATATTCTGAGTGGAGTCAGCAAAATGAGGCCATCTCCACTGAGCCCAGCCGCGTAACAAAACTTGCGGCCTGAACATGGATATAGCTTGCTTAGACCACAAATTTGTCACTTTCTATACCAATTAATCATCTCAAAGGCAAATCTGTGGATTTCCCCATTCAAATGTTATACGGTAAACAAAGCTGGCCGATTACGATTGGATCAAAATCTCGGCTCTGCATTCCACGTCGTTATGCATGCTGCAGCTGCACGTTGAGTTGGGCACTGAGCGCCTCACTTTCACTCCAAAATGGAGAATAAAATCCCCAATTCTGGTGCAGTTCTCATCAACTTCAACTTAATCTTGTATTAATATTTTAGAAGTCATGACTTCGTCTAATTCTAGCGAGGACTTGTTTCCTGCTTTGGAGTCGCTCTCCAGGTTAATCGTACCTCATATCAAAACTGCGATATTCGTCGCACTTGTTCTAAACCAATTTACTATCTTTCCAGACATTAATGTTATTCTCTCCCAAATATCGAGCCCGTTAATTCTCATCGTCGCGCTGTATTTCGGTGGTATCTGGACGCTTCCCAATGGCCAGGAGAGTACTAGTACATTTTCTTGGAAGTTGTTGCTGGGGCCATTCTTTGACTTCAAGACGATCTCCAGTCGGGTGGGGACGTACTTCAAAGGTGAGGATAGTCATTCATAACGATTGAAAGCTAGGTACTAATGTTTTGTGTTCATCCCAGTCGGCTCGTTGATGTCCTTGGCTTACTACCTCACTCTCTACTACGACCTACCTCTTCCTTTCCAACCATGGGTTCAATACATGTTCGTCGGCATCGCCACGGCCGTGTCAGCCGCTGCATACCTCTTCGCTCCCATCAGCAAGATCTACGGACCTCTTCGCTTCTGCTACCTTGAACATGCCCAGACATACTGGCTCGTCGTCAACTGGTGGTCACTCACAGCCGTCGTACCCTTCTTCTCCCCAACTCTGCTACCGGTCTTTGGCTTCTGCCTCATTAGTGTCACGGCTGGCACATGGGTTCACATCTACTTCGCATACCGCGAGAAAGTCCGCACCATTGCCTGGACGGTATCTGAGAATGCTGCCCGGGCAAAGGCTGCCGCTGAAGAAGCCCGAGATTTCGGATCTATGGCGAAGAAGTACGAAGAGCAGATGGTCAATGCTGCAGCTGAGGCCCGACGCGATGCTGTTATCGCCAATTCAGTTAGACTGACAGACTTCTTTGACTGTGCATCTCGTGCATGGTCTGCTCTCGCTGAAGCTACGGCCCCAGCTGAGGATGCAGTCACGCAAGCTCAAAGAGTCATCGCCTCAGCTATAATCTGTGAAGAAACAGAAAAGGTTGACGACAAGCAAAAGGCAGAAAATGAAAGACTAGCCACATATTTCAGACAATCCGCCGAGACAGCTCATGAGCGCGCAAGAGAAACAGTCGCTCTCCTCCGCATCGCCCAAGCCTCCGTCCGCGGTTCCGAGAACGCCGCTCGACAAGATGAAGTCTCACGTCGTCACGCAGAACACACCGCTGAGAATGCTTCCAACGCCGCCAAGTCCGTTAGTGATACAGTCGCGTCTATTCAGGACGCTGAGCGCAGAGCGGCGTGGGCTGGAGGTGCTGCTGCGAGGAGGGCTGAAGAGGCTGTGACTATGGCGACGAATGGAGAGATTGAGGAGGCGAAGAAGGCTGTTGCGGCTTCTGAGTCTGCGTTTCAGGCTGCTGAGGAGTCAGCTAAGATCGTGAGGGAGGGGATGGAGGCTGCGCAGAGAGGGTTGCAAGAGTGGCTGCAAAGCAGTAGGCATGGGGTTTAGGTGGCTGATTGATATTCACATCGTCTTACTGGACCGTCTTAAGATAAACAAATACCAACGTTTAATGAACTTGAATGTTGTCTAACGATGAATTTGGTGGCATCTTAAGATGGCATAAGCGCTGCCATAAGATGAACGTAAGGGTATCTTAAGATAACAAAAGCCACCTCCTCCGTAGCCAGGGCTTAAAAATATTTTAGCAGCCTAATTAAGCACTGCCTTAAGATAAATAACCAGAAACTCTAATTAACTTTTAAAATAAGTATCTTATAATAAATATAGCCGCATCTTAACATGAATTTATAGTGTCTTAAAGTAGCATCTTAAGATAACTAATTTGTGATATCTTAGGCCCTGATCCAATTAATACAAACAGGCACACTCGATATAATCCGTAAAATCTATATAGGAGGCTATTCCTAAATTAGACAATTTTAGTATTAAATTATACAGTTAAGGGATTTTTAATCTAGATAGTATTTATATAATATACCTATTTTACTATAAACTTAATAGGAAAAGGTCAGTAAGAAATAGAACTAAAATAGTAACCTTTTAGTAGCTTTTTTACTATTTACTTATTTTACTATTTATTAAAAATAAGTATATAGTTTTAATTAATCTAGGTAAGGCTATAAGGCTACCCCCTAGCTATAACGATCTTAAAATGCCTAATTTCCTTCCTAATAGCAGTAATAATAATACTACTATTAGCTTAGATAATAGATATAGTAAGGAAAAAGACTTACTTATTATAAGGATAGCTATAAAGACTATTAAATTTTAAAAAAAATAAAAAAAGGCCTTATTTCTTTACTATTTTTAATTATAGAGATATTATTAACCCTGGCAGGTTAGTTATAGTAAAGGAATTTAGTTAAAGGCTATTAACAGGTTATAACAGGCAATTTATAGAGAAGCTTTAAGTTATAAAGAACTAATTCTATTAATTAGCTAACTAGATTAGTCTAAATATAAGTATAAAAGGATCTAACTAGTAAAGCTTATATTTAAAGCTAATAATCTTCCTATATATTATTAGTTAAGGCTATATATAGTAAGTAGCTATATATTACTTTAGTATTTCTTAAAGCTTTATATCTTAAATTATAAAAATAGCCTTTAAAGCTTTTACTAACTTATATAAGATATTTATTATTTAACTAAAGCTAATAAAGGTATACTATAAGTGTAACGGTTGGGGTTTTAAACAGGGAAACTAGTCTATACTAGGTTTATATTTGCAGATTGCGTAGGGCATTATACTAAGCACGTTAGTTTAAAGTTATATCTCTTAATAGTTAATAGTACAGGTAAGGCTTATTAAGGTAAAGAAGTGTTATTAATAGCTAGTAAGCTAAGTTCTATCTACTGCTAAGTAAATATATATATACTTAGGTAATCCAAGTTAATTAGTAAGGTCTATAGTAGGATTAGTAGTAATCTTACTAAATTATAACTAATTGCACTAAATTAATTATAATTATAGAGTCTTAGCGCTAATTGTCTTTAGCAGGAGATATATTAATTAGTGAAATTTATAGGGTGTACGTAATAGGACCGCTAGGGTCATAATACAATCTCTCCCCTCCCTAGGCCTTATCCTTGAGGCCTAGTTATTATAACTATCTATTAGTCATCCCTAGTAAGTTCTATCTTAACTTTATAATCCTCTAAAATGTCTAACTGTATATCTAAGGCTAAGAAAACTTTTACTAAAAATTATAAGTCTTTTTATATCCTTATTACAGTATTTAGAAACTCTATTATACCTTGTTTTAATTATATCTATTAAAAACTTAAGGGTTTTTATATTCTTAATTCTACAAAGTCTAACCGCTATAATCTTTATATTAAATTAGGGATTTCCTGCAATAGTTATAGCCTATCCGTAGTAGCTAGTAGGTTTTAATATAAAATTATTCTTATAGGTATACTAATATAACATTAGCTTAAAAGATTATTAATAAAAAACATTATCTTAAGCGTAAAGAAAAAGCTACTAAGAATAAACTTATTATTCTTTAAGCTAAGTCTACTTATATTTATAATACAATAAGTGCTTAATTTGCTAAAATTACTTAGTTATAACGTCAGCGTTGTTAGGTAAAGGTAAAAGGTTTAAATATAATTTAACGCAGCCTTAATTCCATAGACAAGCTAGAGCGTGCTAAGTAAAATAAGCAGGCTGCTCTTAAAGGTGCTATGATTA